GACTTTTGCTGCCTGTTACAAAGGGAATTCACACCCTTTCCAGTGACTTAGCAAAGTACAGAAAAGTATAAAGAGAAAATGAGCATGTCTTCGTCTGGCACCAGCATCGAGCCCTTCTGGGTGTCACTCTATGTCAGGGCTGTAGCTTTAGTGTCCATAGATCTTAAAAGTCTAACTTAAAAAATGTGTGCAACCTGAGTTTTAATGTTCCACCATGTGAGCGCAGCATGCCCTAGGGATCGGACCTCCTGGTGGGAGGGGTTTGCTGCTCCTAATGTCTGCTTTTTAGGTAATCTTGGAATGACCCACCTTGTGCATGAACCTTGTATGCATTTCTGCTTTTGGCCTTAGAATAGGTTTGTAGATGTGGAATGGCTGATGTAGGATAAAAACCTTTTCAAAGCTCTTGGCATACATGGCTTCTCCCCACATTGGTCCCTCCATGAGCAGGATGAGCGCCTGGTCCATGCAGCCCCGTCCGTATCATGAGCATCACTGACCAATCACCTGTGCCCCACTGAGCTCCCGGGTGCCTCCCACCGACGCTGCAGGGCCAGCCATGTGAAGGGAGGCTCTGCCTGTCCACTCAGGGATTGAAAGGGGCCACTTCCTTTTTTTGAGGCTCTGCCTATGACTTTAAAAAAATAAATGTCAGCACAAGATTACGTAAGTTTTGGTTTACATTAAGTCAACACCCTGGACAACATTAGGAAAAACCATGATATAATCTAGTTGTGGAGTCAGGACATAATTCCACCCTTGACTTGCACAGGCTGTGTAGTGGGGTGTGGGGCGACCAGGCCGGACCCTGGGAGCCTGTGCCCAGAGGAGCTCCTGTCCTCAAATCCCTTCCTGTCTTCCTGCCGGGGCAGAGCAGGGACAGCCGCGGAAGCCTTCCTCCCCTGCCGCTGTCCTTGGTGCAGGACGGCCCACCCCACAGCTCCGCAGGGCAGATGGGGCTGTGCAGGGCTGGGCGGGAGGAGCGCCTTCCCTGGTGCTGATGCTGGGCACGCCCTGCGCTGCTGTGGCCTTGCCAGCCTGCGTTCTGCCCCGCCGCCCCTTCAGTTTCTTTTTCTTCGCCGTTTTTGTTGGTGGCTCATTTCCCTCCTCCACCCCCTCCACCTTTGGGAATTCTGTTATCTTTCTACCTCCTGGGCTCTGGGCACTAAGTTAGTTTTAACCTTGTTTGAGGTTGACTCAGTGCCGGGTTCCAGGGCCGTTGGTGGCTGAGAGCCTGTGCCCTGGGCCATCTCAGGCCTCATAGGATTGTGTGCCCCAAAAATGCAGTCTCCTCCCTCCCCAGTTCTTGCCTCCTGGCCTCCTCAGCAGGGTCCCCTGGGAGAGCTCAGAGACAGGAATACACAGGCACATACACACACGTGAGTACACACGTATGCACACATGGCACACCCACATCTTTGTTTTGGGTTTCCCATCTAAAGGAATTGTAGCCCTGACCGGTTTGGCTCAGCAGATAGAGCGTCAGCCTGCGGACTCAAGGGTCCCAGGTTCGATTCCAGTCAAGGACATGTACCTTGGTTGCGGCACATCCCCAGTGGGGAGTGTGTAGGAGGCAGCTGATCAATGTTTCTCTCTCATCGATGTTTCTAATTCTCTATCCCTCTCTCTTCCTCTCTGTGAAAAATCAATAAAATATATTAAAAAAAATAAAGGAATTGTACTACTCACATTCTCCTATAACCTGGGTGCTTTCACCTCACCACATATTGTGAATTTCTTTCCAGGTCAGTATGTTAAGATCTGCTGTCTTCTTATTTTACAATTAGTTTAGCAGAATCCTGGCCACACAGAGCACTTTGTATCGTGTCTCCTGTGGCATGTACGTGGTGACAGGACACGGCAGCTTCCCCCAGCATCTCAGCCGTTTCGTGGCTGCACACTCAGAGCCTCGGGTCCCAGCTGTCACCTCCTGGTCCACAGTCTGTGGTGTGTGGGGCCTCGTCCCCTGTGCCCCAGATGCACTTTGAGTGCCTCGCCCCTACTTGGACTGCAGTGCACTGCTCCCCACGCATGCCATCGGACTAACTGGAGGTCTCCACTTCTTTACTGCATGAAGCCTGAGTCCATCCTTGGTTCCTGTCCCAGCCTCTCCCTCAGTTGTCACACAGGCAGCGCCATCCCCAGGCCCCTGGTAGGTTCCCATGCTGATGGGAACATCACCTGTTCATTTGAGTCTGTCTCCTGGGACCCTGGGGCCCTGGGCGCTGGTGGCCTGGGTTCTCAGCAGTGGGAAGGGAGGGCAGGGTCAGCAGAGTCCCAGGGAGCTGACTTAGGTGAACCCTGTGACCTGTGCCCTCAGCTGCTGCCCACCACCCAGAGTGGCCAGGGCCTCCCACCAGGGGCGCTGGGGCTGGGCGGCCTGGGCCGGCTCCCGAAGCGCCTGTACTCAGGAGGCTGCAGCCCAGGGGCCGCTCAGTGACCTGGCTGTGTCTCTTTGCTGAGGTGTCAGAGCCATTGGCGTTGCAGTTGTTCTGTTTTGAAAGTGATATCTTGGTGGCTTTGTCCTCTCCCATCCTCTCTGTAGCCCTGCCACACCCCTCCCACTCCTGGTCTCCTCCCCTTGGCACTGAGCTAACTGCCTGGGCTCAGTGCCTTCTCTTTCCCTCCGTCTCTCTCTGATCGCCTTCCTCCCCTCTTCCTCCACATCCTCTTCCTGTCCCCTCCGTCTCCACAGTTGTGCTCACCTGGCTCCTAGCCTCAGCTCTCGGAGCCACCTAGGCCTCAGTCTCGGTGGGCCCATCCTGGGTCTGGACTGCCTGATGCAGATGTGGCGATTTCGGGGACACAAGCAGCAGGGCCTGGCCGTGTCCAGGGCCTGGCTCTTAGCCAGCTGGTCCCTCGACCTCCATATGTAGCTGGACCGTCAGGAGGTAACAGGAGCGTGAAGTGGGCTCTAGCGCCTGCTTCCCAGGAGGTGGTGCCCACCTTCCTTCCAGGATCCCCGGAGTCTCGGGCCGGTGCTGCGAGGGCGTCCTTTTCCCTCCTTGGCACATCCAGGTCCTCACCGAGCCTTTGCCCACGCAGTCCCTAGGGACGCACACCCCCTGGGCAGGGAGGCCTGGCCACCTTGCTGCAGACACGGGAGTTCGAGCAGGCCAGGCAGTGTGGAGACCTCCTGTCCAGGGAGGAGACCTCCAGACCAGTGCGAGCCAGCTGCTTGGGCATAGCCCAGTGATGGCGAACCTTTTGAGCTCAGTGTGTCAGCATTTTGAAAAACCCTAACTTAACTCTGGTGCCGTGTCACATATAGATATTTTTTGATATTTGCAACCATAGTAAAACAAAGACTTATATTTTTGATATTATTTTATATATTTAAATGCCATTTAACAAAGAAAAAATGAGTGTCATAGGTTCACCATCACTGGCATAGGCGGCCCTGGCCAGGTTCCTACAGAGGCATGGTGTGGACGTCCACCCACAGGCATGTGCGTGTTGGGGATTTTCTTCTCACTGATGCTCTTTCAGCACTTGACCGCTGTGCTTAGTGAGCGAGGACAGCCGTGGTCAGACCCTGAGGGTGTGGGCTGGAGGGACAGGCTCCTGAGTGCAGCGTCTGCTCCTGGCTCCAGTGCAGGGGAAATGCTTCGGACTTTCCTGTAACTCTTGTTCTCCTCTCATGGTTTTGGGTATCTTTTCTAGATAATTTCTTAAGGGTCACTCAGAAAGCCTTCACTTTGGGATAATAAAATAAACGAGCAGTTTCCGTGAATGGCCTGCCCGGCGAGAATAGAGCTGACTGACCATGATGAGGTCAAGCCCTCACCGCGCTTGACCTGTTCAGGAGCTCACACTGAACAGTGGGGTCCCTGGACCCTTGAGACCCCCGGGCAGGAGCTAGGGCTGTCCCCTCTGCACACAGCACAGACAGTAAGCGAGTTCCAGGGCCTTAGTTAGCACGCCAGGTGATCCTTGTCACGGTGCAGGCACAGGCAGTTAGGGCTGCGAGGTGAGTCCTGGGGGCGTTGCTGGATTCCCATTAGAGGCGGGGCCAGCCCGCCTGTGGCCGTCCCGTGGTGGGCAGCCCTGGCTGCAGCCTCGGCCCCTGCCTATGGCCCAGCCCCTGAGTGTCTCTTTCAGGTGAGGGGCGGCTCCAAGGCGTTTGGGGCAGAACAGGGGACCGACCATCCCCACCTCTTACTTTTCTCTTCAGTCCCAGGCTGCCATCCCACTGAGGTGAGACCTGCACCCTCATTGGTTGGTAGTTGAAGAAGGAGCCCCAGGGGAAGGGGTGGCGACATGCACATGGTCATGACACCTGGGCCTCAGCGTCCTACCTGTCACATGGGATGCCCCCCTCCACCTTCCAGAGTACAATGGGGCTTCAGGGACATGTTGGGACCAGCAGCAATGCGTGGGGAGCCTGCCCTGGTGACCAGGGCTGATGACCACCCCCTGGGGGGTTGTACTTTAAGGTGTTGATAGCCTTCCTTTTGACTGACCTGAAACTCAACCCTCATGCCGCCTTCGGGTGAGGGTGGTGCATAGAGGTCTGGTGGCAGAGCCTGTGCTCTCCTTATAGGCCCCCAGGGCTCCTGTGGCTGGGACAGACAAGGGTACATGATAGTCATGGGTGTGTGTGGTCCCTGCTGGGTTGGAGCAGACGCATCAGGGAGGTGGGCTGTCCTAAGTGTCTGCTTTAGGAACTGCCAGTGAGAAGAAGCCTGGAGCCACTGTCAGGTATGAACTCGAGATAGGGACCCAGGTGTGGATGCGGCGTGTAGACTTGGGGTGTGGACCTGAGATGTGGAGGTTGGGTGTGGACAGCGGGTGTGGATTTAGGGATGGTCTGGGTTATGGACTCAGGATATGGACCTGAAATGTAGACTCAGGATTGGATACAGGATGTGGATGTGGGATGTGAACTCAAGGTGTGGACCTGGGGCGTGTACAAGGGCGTGGGGTTTAGTTGGATGTGGGCGTGGGGTGTGGATTCTGTGTCCAGTCTCTGGACCTGGCTGATCCCAACCAGGTACAGGACTCTGCTCTGCCCCTGGCTCTGGCCCGTGGGCCTTGGTGGATGTGGGCTGTGGGAGCTGACGGCATGTGCAGCCATCTCCATCCCTGTGATCACTTGTATCAAGAGGCCACCCGATGAATGAGCAGAGGCCGGCCGGCCCAGGTCGGTGCTGTGGAGACAGACCAGCACTGCAGTGGCCTGGCTGTGGTTGCCCTCCTCACTGTGCCTTCGCCAACATGGAGTGTCACCAGTGTGATGTATTTGGTTGTGGCAGTTTGTGAGGTGAACATCATGTGGTGTGATTGCGGTGCACCTTCTGCGGGTTGGTGAGGGCGCCTGTCTACACGGTAGCCGGGTGCCTATTCTGTTCTGGCTCTGCCCTGTCTTCTGTGGGAGAGACCCTTCGTTCCTGGAGGAAGGGTAGAAACACTTGGCCGTGTTTGTTGTTAATGTTTATATTTTGCCCTTGAAAGTTTGTTTTCATGATGTGGGGCACTTTCAATCCATCAGTATTCTCTTTGATTTCCTTTCCCATTTTTGTATGTTTGTTTAGAAAGTTACCTGTATGGTGAGAGCAAACACGTCCTCACGGCCTGCTTCCCAGTCGGCTCTTCAGACCGCTTGCGCTTTATTTCAGTTTATGCTCTGAGACGAAGAGTAGACTTAATGTTTTCAAAAACAGGTGCCAAGATTTCTGGGCTGCAGGGTCTGTTCCCAGAGCTGTGGGACTGTGGCCTTGGTCCCCTGCGTGGGCCATGTCTGCTGGGTGCTGGCCCAGTGCCTGGGGCAAGGGACTGTCCCACTGAACAGTGAGGAGACCTTTGGGTCTAGGCAGACGTCTAACCTCTCGTGCCTCGGTTTCCCCATTGTACAATAGGGCTAGTAGAACACGCCCCCTCCCACCCCCGTTGTTGCAGGAATCACCCCCACTGCAGAGTGAGCCGTCAGCCAGCATTAGCAATGACGGGTTTGTGGTGGTGATAGGACGGTGTCCCTCTCACAAGGCCAGGTTCTTTTTATTTTTTATTGACATAAAATTCACACAGCAGACAATCAGCCATTTAAAGTGAACATTTCAGCACATTTCAGAGTGTTGTGCAACCATCTTCTCTAGCTGGTTCCAAAACATTTCATCCCACTAAACAGTCACTTCTGTTTCCCCTGTACCCCCTTCCCCCAGTGCCACCAGCCAGTCTTCAGTCTAATATAATTGGGATCCTATAATATGTGGCCTTTTATGTCTGGCTTTTTTCACTCAACATAATTTTTTTGAGGTTCTTCATGTTGTAGCACGTGTCAGCCCTCTACTCCTTTTTAAGGTTGAATAATACTCCATGGTATAGATACACCACAATTTGTTTACCCATTTACCAGTCAATGGACTTGGGTTGCTCCCATCTTTTGGTTATTGTGACTAATGCTACTGTGAACGCTTGTGTGAAAGGATTTGATACCGGTCTCAGTTCTTTTGGGTATATACCTAGAAGTGGAATTGCTGGGTCATATGGCAATCCTATCTTTAACTTTTTTGAGGAACCACCGTACTGTTTCCATAGAAACCACACCATTTTACATTTGTAAGAGGGTTATAACTTCTCCATATCCTTGCCACACTTGTTAGTTTCCCATTTTTTTTCTTTCTTTTTAAAATTGTAACTGTCCTAGTGGGCATGTGGTGGTCTGTCATGGTTTTGATTTGCATGTCAGAGGCATGCAGATGACTAAGGATGTTGAGCATTATTCGTGACCTTGTTGGCCATTTGTATTTCATTTTGAGGGAAATGTCTGTTCAAGTCCTTTGCTTCCTTTTAGTTGTTTTGTGGTTGAGTTATAAATTCTTTATATGTTCTGAATGTAGACCCTTATCAAATGTACGCTTTGAAAAGATTCTCTCCCATTCTGTATGTTGTCTTTTCACTTTCTTGATAGTGTCCTTTAATGCACACACGTTTTTAATTCTGATGGCATCCAGCTTATTTTTGTTGTTGTTGCTTGTGCTTTTGGCATCATATCTAGGAATCCAAGGCTATGGAGATTTACCTCCATGTTTTCTTCTGAGAGTATTACAGTTTTAGCTTTTATATTTAGGTGATTAATCCATTTTCAGTTAACGTCTTTATATGGAGTAAGATAGGAGTTCAGCTTCATTCTTTTGCTAGCCTGCTGTCCCAGTGCTGCCCCTGGGAGATTGATGGCGGTCCCCCATGGTGTCCAGAGGGACCTTGCTGATGGCTCTGAGCTGCCCCAGTGAAGTGCCTCCCTTAGCCTCCCTGAGCTCTGTGGTGACAGGGCAGTGACAGCTTTCATGGAGGGAGGCCTGCTGGCCCACCTGGTCCCTCCCCTATCCTGGTCATGCATTGGTGAGGCCTTCCTTGCACCTCCTTCCTTCCTCCTTGACTCCTGACTTGTCCCTACAACACTCTGCCCCATCTGTGCACACACTGCCCTGGACCCTCCCAAGAGGTGAGCAAGAGTTGCCTGGATGCTTTGCAGGGAAGCGCTCATGGAATTGTTGACCGCCAGTGACATCTGTTTCCTGCATTTCAGCTGTGTTGGCGTAGAAGAGGAGGAGGCCCCAGACATCGACATATACCATTGCCCGAACTGCGAGAAAACCCATGGGAAGTCTACTTGTAAGTACAGCGCCATGCGCCTCACCTTGGATCTGATGGACTCCTGACCTGGCTTGCTGGGGTAACACTCTCTGGGTGGCCACACCCTGGTGCTTGGGGACACCTCTGGCCTCCTTTTCCAACCTGTACAGCCCCTCCTGATCGGCTCCTACACTCACAGCCACTGTGCAGAGACTCCATCTGCTCTCAAAGGCCTCAGGAGGGGGTACAGACTCCAGCACCTGCAGAGGCCAAGCTCGTCTGAGACAGGGACATGTTGCAGGTCTGTCCAAGGGGTTGTGCAGCCCAGCCCTGCCCAGCTGACCTCCACCTTGATGGGGTCTTGAAAGTTGCATCATGGGAATCTGCTCTACTTCCCTTCTCCACCCCTGCAGGGAATCTTAGGTGATTTCCTTTCCCAGACTGCCTGCTGTTTGCCTATCCCAGCTGTTTGATCCCTGCCTTCCTCTGGTCCCTTCGGGGTGTGGCAGTTCCTTTGGGAGCTCCCCAGGGTGCAGGCTCGTCCGAGTGACTCCAGGGTGCCCATGTCCTGGCTGAAAGGCAAATTCTGAGGCTAACCTCTCTGGGGAATGAGATGCTATGGTCTACAGGGACCACTGGAGGGCCGGCCTGGAAATGAGGCAGATGGCACGGGGTGTGAACGTGGCCTCTGGTTTCCATCCTGGGCCGGGCTGCTCACAGAAGGTACAGGCTGGACACCGGCCTTGGCTGGTGGCAGATCACAGCCCTGCTGTCCCGAAGCAGGAAAGTTTGCGGTTTCTAACCTCCCCTTGCACCCTGAGGACTTGGCAGCACTGGTGTCTGCTCTCATTACCTCATCCTTTTCAGCAGATACAGGAGGTGACTACCATTCCATGGGCCAGCTGGTGGCATTTCTGGCACCTCTTGAGCCATTGGGCAGGCTCAGGGCCTAGGAAAGATGAATAGGGTGGGGACACGGGGCAGGAGGGGGTGTACCATGTGATCATGGGAATGGAGCCAGGGACAAAGAAGGGCTGGATCAGAAACCCCTGCTCACCCCCTGGCAGAGCCGTGTCCTGGGGAGGCCCAGTGTTAGGGGGCTCAGGGAGGGTGGGGCCACATCTGTGTGGTTCGTGAGCTGTTGCATGAATTGGGGGCGCTGGGATTGGGCTATTGCAGGGTTGGAGGTGGGTGTTGGTGTGCACAGCAGTGCAATTTCTCCAATGCCCCTGCATGTCCCAGAAGCACCCTTCCCTGAGGGTCAGCTTGCCTGCTGCCGGAGCTCTATGTGCCTGCCTCACCAGCCCCTGTTCCTGTGCTCCTGGGTCTGGGCAGAGGCCGGGTGGTCCCCAGCTGCCTGTTATTGCCGCTGGAAGTCAAGGGCAGGCACCCTTTCCTGGCACTTACAGCCAGGCACCCCCAGGGCATGCTGGGACAGCAGCCTGGTGGGACCCAGCAGCCCCTCCCTGCTTGTGCATATGTGCATATGTGTCTGGAGGGTATATGTATGTGTGTGCATGTGTATGAGTAAATGTGTGTGCATGAGTATTTGCATGTTTATGCAAATATGCATATATGCTGTCCCTGTCTGCTGTTATTGGTGGCCATATGCTATCAGGGACAAAGGTTCTAGCACAGCCGTGGGCAAACTACGGCCCACGGGCCGGATCCGGCCCGTTTGAAATGAATAAAACTATTGAAAAAAAAGACTGCACCCTTTTATGTAATGATGTTTACTTTGAATTTATATTAGTTCACACAAACACACCATCCATGCTTTTGTTCCGGCCCTCCGGTCCAGTTTAAGAACCCATTGTGGCCCTCGAGTCAAAAAGTTTGCCCACCCCTATTCTAGCACCCTCCACTAGCATGCACTCCAGATTGGCGATCACTCTTCATTTGAACTGAGTCCGTGCTCTCTCTGGAGCCTGTCAGTGACGCACAGGTTGGTGTTTGCCACATCAACTCAGTCACACCCCTCCACAGCGAGGCCCCTTGGGGACAAGATGCTCCTTCATGTCACTGTGTTTCCAGGGGAGCCCCCAAACCTGTGGGCTGCGCTTCAGGCCCTCTTAGGCCCAGGCCTGCCTCCTTCCCTTCCCTGAGTGGGCTTTGCAGCAGGCGTGACAAGGTGAGGAGGGAGAGCCCACAGGTAGATGTGGTGCAGGGCTCAGTGGTCCCCATGGGAACCCAGCAAGGAGTCCCAACTGACAGTTGACACGAAGGCTCATGCAAAGCAGGTGGCATATCCTCAAAGAGGCTCTGACCCCGTTTTGTCTCTCTTTAGCTCTGTGATGCTTAAGAGGTTACTTCACTCACTGTCTTCTCACTTTGATCCTCTCTGCGGATCCTCTCTGCGGCCCCCACACTCCAGGTGCCCCACTCAGCAGCTGTCTCCAGGGTGTGCATTGCCAGAGAGGGGTGCTGGGGTGCCACAGGTCGGAGGACTCTCAGTCTCGGGGAGCCTGGCAGAACTCGGTCGTGTCTCGCAGCTCTGTCCCTGGCTGTTGTCCCTGCCCACCTGGTCCAGCCACAGCCTCAGCGGGCAGTCTCTCCGTGAGGTGGTGAGCTGCTGGTCCTGAGTGAGGGACTGGCCGGTCAGCACCTGCTTTTCAGACCCAGCTTCTGGGGACACATGGAGATGCTGCTTCTTCCTCCTTCTGTCCACTGCACCTCTGTCACTTTGCCCCATGCCCCCTCCCACCCCCAAGACTCAGGTTTCCCATGTGGCCTCCTGGGATGAGGCACTCGATGCCAGGCAGTGTGGATCCCTGTGCTCTGCATACCCTCCTAGGGGAGATCTTGGCATGGCTCCAGCCTCAAGCTCTTCTCTGAGGTGGGGCTGCCCGGGGGCCACACTGCCTCACAGAGGCAGTGCTAACTCAGCATCCTCAGGCCCTGCTGGGAGGACAGTGGCTGGGAACATGGGGAACACTCCTGGAGGGGCTCATATGGGGTCCCCTCCTCAGCATCGTCCTTCCCCTCCTGCCCCCTCCCACTGGCCCCACACAGCACTAGGATCACTGTCTCGTCAGCCTGCCTCTGCTCTCTGCACTGTCATGGCTGCCAGTATATGCCCTGGGCTTCCCTTCTCATCCCACCTCAGATCCCTGAATGTACTGGACCCCTCATGGGTGGGGACCCCTTAGATCTAGGCTCACCTCCCACAGCAGGCATCCCCCACCCCCTCCGGTTGGACAGTCCAGGTCCAGGAGGCTGGGCACACTGAGTTCCACGCTGCTCCTTCCTTTCCTCGGGCCGTTTGGGGGGGAGCACCTTGTAAACTCTAAAGCCTGCACACACTGGATGTCCCAGGTCACTTCCTGGTGCAGCTACAGGCTCAGCAGAAAGGACAATAATGCTCAGTCTGTTTTCAAAGTCAGAGTTACCTGGACTGTGACTGGGGCGGTGTCCCAGGGCCTTCTTTTGCCATGGTGCCCTGTCCCAGGCCCCTGGGCTCTTTAGGAAGCTGGTATGACCCAAGGCCATCTGTCACTTTGGTGACCCCTGTGCAGAGCCGAGCTGCTCAGCGTGTGCTTGCAAACTTCTGGGGAGAACAGATCTGAGATGGGGTAGCCAAAGGGCAGTGGGGAGTTTTCCGTGGCCCAGGCATTGCCCAGCTCTGGTGGGCATCGAGGGGCAGGAGTGTGCTGAGCCCTTCCTGTCTGAAGTTCATCCCCCATCCCAGAGGCTCTGGACAGAGGGGCACACTGGGGCGCATGAGGAAGAGCCTGTGGGTCTGGAACAGGTGCTGAATTTGCCTGTGGACCAAGCAGCTGAGAGGGGCCTAAGGGTGTGCTCTGTAGAGCTCCCCAGAGTACGCATGGTGCCGAGTATCACTCCCTTATTACATGTCACAAGGATCCCAGAAGGCCGGGACTGGTATCTCTCTATTAAAGATAAGACACAGAGATGCCCAGTAACTTGCCCAAGGTCACACAGCAATAAGATGGCGGGGCAAGAAAGATTTGGGCGGGTGACTCTGAGCCCTTTGGACCTCCTGTCTATTCCTGGTCCTGCCTCTGGAAGTCACAGCTTAGATTCTGCCAGGTTTCCATAACATCCACTCACATTTTGGCCATGGGGCAGGCATGCCATAATATCACCCGATGTTGGAGATAGTCTCCAACTTGACTTGATGGAGATGGGGAAGGGTTGGTGATTTGGAACGGAGGCCAGCTCAGCCTCCCAGCACCTTCCCCTTTCTGCTTCAGGTAAGTCCTTCTCAGGGGCAGTCATTGTCACTGGGCTGTCCTCAGCTGCCTTTATGCCCACAAACTCTGGGACACAGGAGTCCCAGGGCTCATCCCTGAAGCTCCCTCCCATCCTCATCTGGGAAGGACAGGCACCCTGAGGACCCTCCCGTCAGTTCCTCATACCCAGTCTCATTTCTCCTGAGGGTCAACCTCTCTCAGACCCCCCAGCAGTTCTAAGGAGCAGGTCCTCGTCACTCACTGAGTTACCTGTGACTGCCCTGAACCAGGGGCGGGGGCCACAAGGAAGTCACTTCCCTCCCTAGGCGCTCACAGTCCAGTACGGTGTGTGTGCATGCATGTGCATGTATGCATGTGTGAGTGCACATGTATGGTGCAAGTGTATCACAGTCCAGCAAGGGTGTGTGCACACGCTCATGTGTAAAAAGTCCAAGGTGTGTGCATCAGTGCCCTGGGAGCATGCATGAGGACAGAGCTGCCTGAGGGAGTGGGTAGGGTGACGTGGGCAGGGGTGGCTGTGCAGAAGTGTGTGAGGTGGGCACAGCCCGGGGCTAGAGAGGGCAGACAGCACAGCAGGTGGTGGCCGGCCTTCTCTTGTGTGTGAGCTGTGGGCTGCAGAGACAGGAAGGTCCCAGCAGGGTGGTGACAGGGTCTGTGCTATTTGAAGACAAGTTCGGGGAGGGGGGGCTGTCCTGAAGGCTGACCTTGGTGGGACCTTCTCAGGAGATGCCTCTCATGACTGGGTGCTGAGTAGGGAGGGGTCCTGGGAGACCCCAGCTTCTGGGTGCCATCAACTGAGCTACAGGGTTGGGAGGTATGAAATGGAGTGGAGGTGGGTGTAGAACCAGAGGCTGGGGATGGTGAGGGCTCGTGACCATGTGATGACACAGGGTAATGAGGGTGTGGGAGGCTGGTGGGCTGGGCCCAGGGACCCTGAGGACTTGGCCTGAGGAGGGTTGAGTCTGGCTGCATTCGAGATTCCCTGGCTGCCCTCATGGCTGGTCTCTGGAGGCGTGGCGAGGGGGATGCAGGCAGGGGCCTGTGCAGGGTGCTGACCCGCCGTGTCCCCTGCAGTGAAGAAGAAGCGGACCTGGCACAAACACAGCCTGGGCCAGACGCCTGACGTGAAACCCGTGCAGAATGGCAGCCAGCTCTTCATCAAGGAGTTACGGAGTCGGACCTTTCCCAGGTGGGCCGTCAGATCGCCCTGCCCCTGCTCACTTCCAGGCCCAACACGCACCCCTACAGGGGCCCAGGAGCAGAGGGCCTACCCCTTGGGCAGAGGATAGTCCCTGAAACTCCAGGCCCCCGGCAGAGGCTGACCTCTCTCTCAGAACCTCCGGGCACAGTGTGGGAGGGAAGAGACCCATGTCCCCACGAGGCGTGTGCTCCCAGGGGGCATTCTGAGGGGAGAGGAGTGGGCCAGTGTCCAGCTAAGATCATTCTCAGATGTGGCAGGTCCTGGTCCCGGTCAGTAGGTGCTCTTCTAGCCTCCCTGTCCTCCACCCCCGTCCTGTGTGAGGGCAGCGGGCAGGGGCAGGGCTGTGGGAACGGCTTCTGTGGGAAAGGGGCTTGGTGACGTAGGACCTGCTAGGAGCCATTTCTCAGCCTCCACCCTGGGCGACAGTGTTGTTAGACAATTCCGCTTCTCTGTCACCCCATTCTCTTTTTCATGTGTGGTTTCTAATGAGAATCCAGTGCAGTTCTTATCCTTGGTTCTCTATGGACAAGGCAGTTTTCTTCCTCTGGCTTCTTTCTTTCTTTTCTGGTTGTTTGCCCATTTATTGAGATATAATTCATATACCATACAGATCACCCATTTAAAGGGTACAATTCAGTTGTCTTGGGTACATTCACAGACATGTGCACCACTGTCAATCAATTTTAGAACATTTCATCACCCAGAAGAAACCTGTAACTTGATCACTCCCATCCCTGCCCCCCCCACACGGCCCTAAGCAACCACGAGTCTGCCTTCTGCCGCTGTGGGTTTGCCTGTTGTGACATTTCATCTGAGTGGAATCATACAGTATGTGGCCGTCTGTGTCTGGCTTCTTTCACTCAGCGTAATAGCCTCACGGTTCACCCATGTCATAGCGTGTACCAGCACTTCATTCCTTTTTCATGGCAGAACAATATTCCCGTGTATGGACAGGCCACATTTTGTTTATTCACTCAGCAGTTGACAGACATCTGGGTTATTTCTGATTTGGGGGTACTGTGAATAATTCTGTTATAACAATCTTTTTTTTGTTATAGTCATTCTTGTACAAGTTTTTGTGTGGACATATGTTTTCATATTTTAGGAGTAAGTCTATATTTAATTATTTGAGGAACTTCCAGTCTGTTTTCCATAATGTTTGCACCACTTTCCATTCCTATCAGCAGCGTATGAGGGCTCCAGTTTCTCCATGTCCTCACCAGCACTTTTCATGAAATGTTTTTTAATTTTCACCCGAGAACATGTTCTTTATTGATTTCAGGGAGAGAGAAGAGAAGCAAAGGAAAGGAAAGAGAGAGAGCAACATTGATGTGAGAGAGAAACTTTGATCATTGCCTCCCATATGCACCCCAACCACTGGGGACCGAACCTGCAATCTGGGCATGTGCCCTGACTGGGAATCGAACCCCCCACCTTCTGGTATACAAGACGATGCACTTTTTATTATCTGACTTTTGATTCTAATCATACTTGTAGGTAAGATTTTCTCTTGCTGTGGTTTTGATTTTCATTTCCCTAATCACTACTGATGTTGAGCATCTTTTCATGTGCATTTTGGTCATTTGTATATCTTCCTTGGAGAAATGTTAGTTCAGATCCTTTGCCCATTTAAACTATTTTTGTCTTTATGATTGAGCTCTAAGAGTTCTTATATAGTTTATATACAAGTTTCTTATCAGACATGTGATTTCCGAATGGTTGACTTTTCATTTTTCTTGATGGTGTCCTTTGAAGCACAAACTTTTGTCATTTTGGTGAAGTCTAATTTTTCTACCTTTTCCTTTGTTGTTTGTGCTTTTATTGTCATGTCTAAAAATCCTTTGCCAGATCCCAGGTCATGAGGATTTATCCCCATGTTTTCTTTTAAGCGTTTCATAGTTTTAGGTCTTACAGTTTGGTCTTTGATTTTCAGTTAATTTTTGCATATAGTGTGAGGTAAGGATCTAACTTCATTTTTCGTGTTTGCTTGCAGCTGCCTATTTTTCCCTGCACTATTTATGGAAAAAGACAATTCTTTCACTATTCAGTGGTCTTGGCACACTTATAGAAAGTCTCTCAGCCATGGATGTATGCACTTATTCCTGGAGACTTCATTCTATCCCACCGATCTCTGTTTATCCTTAGTCCAGTTTTCCACTGTCTTGATTGCTGTAGCTCTGTAGCTTTGCAGTAAGTTTTGAAACTGAGAAGTGTGAGTCCTCCAATTTTGTTTTTCTTTTTCAAGATTGTTGTGGTCATTTTGAGTCTCTTGCAGTTCCATATGAATTTTAGGATCAGCTTGTCAGTTTCTAGAAAGAGGTCATCTGAGACTCTGATGTGGATTGGGTTGAATCCATAGACCAGTAGAATCAGAGTATTGCCATCTTAATACTTTTAGGTCTTCTTACCCCATGAATATGAGATATGTTTCCATCTATTGAGATCTTTTAAATTACTTTCAACAATATTTTATAGTTTTCAGAGTATAATTTTGCACTTCCTTTGTTAAATTTATTCCTAAATAATTTGTTCTTTTTAATACTCTTATACGTGTGTTTTCTTAATTTTATTTTCAGATTGTGCATTGTTACTATACTGAAATACAATTGATTTTTATATATTGATCTTATATCCTGCAACCTTAATGAACTAGTTTATTCATTCTAATTTTTTTAGTAGATCCTTGTGTTGTGGTTTTTTTGTTTTTTGTTGTTGTTGTTTTTGTTTTATACACAAGATCATATCATCTTTGAATAGAAAGTTTTACTTCTTCCTTTTTCAGTCTGGGTTACTTTTATTTTTTTTCTTGCCTATTTTCTTTGGCCAGGACCTCCAGTAGAATGCCGAGTAGAAATGGCCGGGCAAGGGTGATCAGGACCCCAGTATTCTCAGGGTGCCCCACTCCAGGCAGAGCTTCAGTTCCACGAGTGTGGGCCAGGTGGAAGAAGGGAGCCCCCACCTTTTGGCAGCCTTTGCCCAGGACTTAGCCTCAGCACCAGACAGCGGGAGGGATAAGAAAGGTGCACATCCTGCTCCTCGAGAGAGCCTGGGCCCGTGAGAGTGTCCATTCAGCATCCCTGGTCCCTGGCTGCAGCCTGGAGTGGAGCCTGCTCCTCACTGAGCTGGGCAAGTGTAGGGAAGGCATGTTTTGGGCCAAAGATCACATAATCTTACCATTCTTGTACCAAGCTTTCATAGATTTTTCTTACATAGATGTTTCTTCTTTTGCTGTTTGCTCTTAGGACCAATTCCAGAGGCTTTGAATAGTTTTTAAAACAGTTTTCACTATTTCACTGGGGTGCAGGTCAGCTGAGCTCTTCAGTCTTTCATGCAGGAGTTGATCTCTCTCATCTGGCTTTCTTCAAGATATTTTCTTTATCTTTTATTTCTGTAGTTTGAATATTCCATGCCTAAGTGAAGTTTTATTCATTTTTATTATTTATTTATTTATTTATTTATTTATTTATTTATTTATTTATTCTGGGGGGGCGGGGAGAGAGTGTTTATGCTGCTTGGTGGTGCTGTCTGAGCTTTCTAGATCTGTGGTTATGTGTCTGTTATTAATTTTGGAAAATCCTCAGCCATTATTACTTTAGTTCTTTCTTTTCTTTCTAGGTATTCCCATCATGCATATATTACTCTATTTGTAATTATTCAACATTTCTTGGATATTCTGTATCCCCATTTTTTATCTCTTTGCCTTTCAGGTTGAGCAATTTTTGTTGGCGTACTTCAAGCTTACGGATTCTTTCCGCAGCTGTGTCCAGTCTACTGATGCATGCTTCCCTCACTTCTGCTGGTTGTTTTCTTTACTTCTTAGCATTTCCTTTTGATTTTTAGAGTTTCCATCTCTCTGTTTACATTACCATCTGTTCTTGCATGTTCTCCACTTTTTCTGTTGGTGCTCCTAACACATTAATCATAATTATTTTAAATTTCCTATCTGATAATTCCAAATACTGTGCTTTAATCTGAGTCTTGTTCTGATTCTTGATTTATCTCTTCAGACTATGGGTTTTCTTGCCTTTTATTATGCCCTGTAATATTTTGTTGAAAGCTGAGTGATAAGAACTGAGGTAATTAGGCATTTCGTGTGAGGTTTTATAGAGACCTGACTGGGAGCTGGGTCAGTGTTAGTGTTTGCTGTAGTTGTGGGTGTCAGAGGCATCACTTTCTTCTAGTTTCCTTGTGCCTTTATTTCCTGTTTTGTTTTCCTTGGGTTTCCTTAAGAACGCCTTCTTAAATAACCTGTATCTTGCAGCTCTCTCAGCTATACTTAACTGTTATTATACGGTTGTATGGTGGAAAGGATTGGGAAAGGGGGCGTGTTCTGTAATTTAATGATAAAGTTCAGTGTTTTAGTGGGCCTGAGGCTCTAGGCTGTCACCTTCAGAAGTATGTCTTGGCCTTTTCTTTTTCTCTACTTACTGGAGGCAGGGAGCTGTGAGGCGACAGTTGGCCGCTTGCCCTCCCTGTCAGGTAAGGATCTGGTAAAGTAAGTTCTCCTGGAGGTAAACTTTATTATGGAGAATACTCAGAATGTATTTAAACATAGTTACTTCTCCCCTCCCTCTGCCTGAAACAGGGGCAGTTCTTTATTGTGAGAACCTGGTAGAATTTCTGGAGGTAAAATCCATGACAGTGTGGGTCTTCTCTGAGACTGGGCCCCCAGAGTTTTTAACTATTAAGCTAGTCCACCCTCAAGTTCCACACTCTGTCAAAAATTACCATTTAAGTACTTTCCCCTGCCAGTTACTGCTTCAGCTTCTGCTTCAGATAAGGTTATCTTGGCTGTGATTTTCTGTATTTGCCTGTCTCTCCAGATTTTGGGGTGACTGTTTTCCCTGTAACCTCAATTATCTGATGAATCTAAGAAAAGTCTTTGGTTTTCACTTTGTTCAACTTTTTTCTTTGAGAACAGGAGTGACAACTTCCAGGCTCTTTACATGTGAGATTTGAAACCAGAAGTCTGGTTCCATGTTATTTTAACCCCTTCCCATTCATTGTATTGTCTTTATTGTTGAGTTGTAAGAGTCCTTTACATATTCTAGATACTCATCACTTACCAAATACTTTCTCTCATTCTATGGGTTGTCTTTCCACTTTCTTGATAGTGCTCCTTGAAAGCACAAAAATTTATAATTTTGATGAAGTCTAACTTATCTATATTTTCTTTTGTTGTTTGTGCTTTTGGTGTCTCATCTAAGAAATCAGTGCTAAATTCAAGGTCATGAAGATTTATGCCTATGTTTTCTTCTAAAAGTTTTATGGTTTTAGCTTTTATATATGAGTCTTTGACTCATTTTGAGTTAACTTCTGTATATGCTATGGGGTAGGAGTCCAACTTCATTCTTTTGCATGTGGATATCCAGTTCTCCCATGCACAGCTTATTGAAATTACTGTATTTTTTCTCTATTGAATTGTCTTGGCACCTTAATGAAAAGCAGTTGACCATAGATATTTGGGTTTATTTCTGGATTCTTTCTATGACTGTACCGCACAGTCTTGAATACTATAGCTTTTTAGTGAATTTTGAAGTTGAGAAGTGTCTTCCAATTTTGTTGTTAATTTTTAAGACTATTTTGGTCATCTGGGTACCTTGCATTTCCATCCAACATTCCAAGTTTATCTTGTCAATTTCTACAAAGATGTCAGCTGGGATTTTGATAGGGAACATGTGGGGTCTGTATGTCAGTTTATCATTGAGGAGGACTTTGTCTCCATCTGCTGTATCCTCAGTCCCAGACTCACCCTGTGCAAGGTCTGCTCACCCATGAAGGGGCTTGGGGCAGGGAGCTAGGAGAACAAGGGAGGTAGGGGAGGATCTCGGCCTTGGTAGGAGGGATGGGTGCGATGTGTCCCCACCCCCCACTCACCACTCATCTCACCCCTGGCCAGGCCTCCCAGACCTTGAGGTTTCCATCTGTGAGGAGTATGTAGGACCCTCTGTGGCTGCCCTGTGACCCTGGGCATGGTGCTGTGGGGCGTTCTCTACTTGGGGCTATGGGAGACGGGTGGCAGGAGCTCGGGCCTATGTCTCCAGCCCTAAGGCCCTGTCCGGGCCTGTCAGGGTGCAGAGAGGCTGGGACCTGGTCTGATGTGACCTCTGACCTGCACTTCCCCACAGTGCGGAAGATGTCGTGGCCCGCGTGCCAGGCAGCCAGCTCACCCTGGGCTACATGGAGGAGCACGGCTTCACGGAGCCCATTCTCGTCCCCAAGAAAGACGGGCTGGGCCTGGTAGTCCCGGCCCCCACCTTCTATGTCAGCGATGTCGAGAACTACGTGGGTAAGTACCCCCCCGCCCTCCCCCCCCCGCCATTCATGTGGCTGTGGGCACCCGGGCCTGCTGGCCTGGAGCCCTGGTTGTGTCCCTGTGCCATCTGAGTGAGTGTGACTCAGGGTCTCTGTTCTCTGTTCTGGGAGCTTTTAGGATTAGACCACATGTCCCACCTGAGTGGCATGTGACCCTGGCCCCTTCCCTGCTCAGTTACTCCAGCTGTAAAGTGGGGTCTGGCCTGGAGACTCCTTGATTCTACCAGCGGCCAGTTCTGCTGCTGCTGGGTCCTAAGGGCAGTCATACCAGGAGGGCTCAGCCGGGACAGGACCTTCTCCTGCGGCTGTGCTTTGTTCTCACCTTCTCCTGGTGGCTGCCTCACTCATTTGCCCCAGGACGAACCTTCCCATGACCCAGGGCCACCTCTTTCCTGGGTCCCTCTGGGATCCAGCTGATGCCGTCTGCAATTCAGTTTCATGTCCCCCGGCAGTTCCCAGCACATAGACACCCTCAGGCAGGACACCTCTGGGTCCAGGGAAGTGCCCGTGTGTGCGGAGGCATCATCCGTGAGGCAGCTGGCATGGAGAGGCCAGCACACACCTGGCATTGACTGCAGCACAGCCCTGGCTCTGAGGCTCTTGTGGTTGCCAGGGCTTGGCATGTTCACAGGGCTGCCTGCGTGGCCAGTGGGGAGGGGGGGGGGGGGCGGGAAGCAAAGATTCCCTGAAATGGCAAATACCCAGGCCGGCGCTGGCCACATGCTGGACAGGTGAGGGCGTAGGCACTGGGGCTGCAGAGGGGTTGCTCCATTGCCCAGAGCTTGACCCTCTGCATCTGCAAAGCCTGCAGTGGGGGTTGGCATGGAGACTAAATGAGGTAGCCTGTATTCAAACCAGAGACCACACCCCTCTCTGGAGCTGGGGTCCCCAGGGCTGGCCAGCTTGAGGCAGGGAGGGAGGGGCTCACTCTTCCAGCCTGGCGATGACCAGCTCTGGGCCTGGAAGAGCACCTGGAAGAGCAGCCAGCATGTGGTGGATGCCTCCCAAGCACACGTTGTTTTCTAGGCTCTTCCCACGTATGTGCTACACTCTCTGTCCTCCAGGCCCCGCCCCCTGCACCACCACTGTGCTGCATGGGGAGATGGTCTTAGGCTTTTACTGTAAGTGTCTTTCTTTCCCTTCTTGTTTTATTATGGAACTTTTTACCCACAAAAAAATGAGAGGAGTCAACAGTGAGTCCCCATGTGCCCAGTACTGACCACAAAAACCACCGACTTTCAACTGTTTTTCTGTCTCTTCTACTTCCCCCCAAGTATTTTGAAGCCAAACTGGTACATCAGCTATGTCACCCATGACAGCTCCAGCGCACAGTTCTAACAGACTGTATTTTAAAAAAAGTCATCACATTCTATTCTGGCACTCTGGAACACAAATGACAACTCCTTATCACTGCAGGCCCACGGCAGTTCTCTCCTGTTGCCTCAAGAGCAGCCTTTTACGTTTGGCTCTTTGAGTGAGAATCCAAACAAGACCACACACTGCCCTGGGTTTTTATGTCCCTTCAAGTCTATTTACTTTTAGAACAGCCCCTCCCCTCCCATTCTCCTTGTTGGAAGGATGGGGGTGTTGGTCCTGGAAAATGTCCCACGTGGGAATTGAGGAAAACCCTACCGTGGGGATTTGGCCGATGGCCTCCCTGTGGCGTCAGGCAGCACGTTCCTCTGTCCCCAGGGGTCCCTGCCCCACTTGGTGAGAAGCTTGCTCAGGTCTGCGTTCAGGTTGTGGGCAGCGCCTTCCCAGCAGGGTGCTTCCTTCAGCCGAGGGCCACCCACTTCTAGGCAGTGAGCCAGGCAGTCCAGCCACATCTGTCCACAGACACTTCCGTCAGCCTCTCAGCTCGAGGTCTGAGCAGCTGTGGAGGACAGTCGGGATTGGCTAATCCTGTCCTTCCTCCCTCTGTTCATTGTGAGTCTTGTACAAAGGATTTCCCTCAATGGTGACTCGGTTGTGCCGAACTTTCTTTTCATCATAAATGATTTTTACCTGCACTTTTCCTCATCAACCGTAGGAAACGTGGGTAAATGTTTTCCTTCTATTTCTATCAATTTTGAGAATAATTAGTTGGTACCCTAGAAACACAGAAGTTTTTTTGATATTTTTTAATGTTTAAAACATAAGCGCGTGCCATGCTTTATCTGGGATATATACTAAAAGTGTCTTTATTACTTATCTCAAGTTCAAATTTACCTGGAGTCCTATATTTTTAATTGCTGATCTGGCCCCACCTTAGCTGAGGGTGGTGACTCTGCCACCCTACAGCACCATGGGTCCTCCTAACAGCCTGGGCAGGGGCAGGGCAGGGCAGAGGGGTTGGGCAGTAGAGATCAGAACCTCCGCATGCAGCCCTCCCCTTAGGGGCCTCCCCCTCTGTCCTGCCCCGACCTCGTGGGTGGCCAGGCCATTTACCCCTGGGGCACCCACCCTCCTCCACTGCCTCCCCAGGCCCAGAGCGGAGCGTGGACGTGACAGATGTCACCAAGCAGAAGGACTGCAAGATGAAACTGAAGGAGTTTGTGGACTATTATTACAGCACCAGCCGCAGACGGGTCCTCAGCCTCACCAGCCTCGAGTTCTCAGACACCAGGTGAGCGGGTGGGTGGGCCTGGGGCGGGACACCTGTGGCCCATCTCAGGGTGTGTAGAATTCCACACATAGCATTATTTGGTGTTTCTCTTCTGAAGTATGAAAGGTATTCATTGTGAACAATTCAAATAGGAAATAACGAATGAGATGCCAGCTCCTCCTCTGATCTGCCCACCCTGCTCCCCAGAGAGAACCATTGGAAACAGTGCTTCCCTCCAGGACGCATGTGCACATCACAACACACTCCTGGCGCACGTGCACACACACACACACAGAGACACACACATACACACACACACACACACACACTTATGCAGTCGCTCACACCCACACCCAGGTGTGTATTATCCCATCCGCCTCTAAGCCACACTGACATATGCACACATGCTTATTACACACTTGCTCACATGCCTGCACACACTTTTTTAAAAAATATATTTTATTGATTTTTTTTTTACAGAGAGGAAGGGAGGGGGATAAAGAGTTAGAAACATCGATGAGAGAGAATCATCGATCAGCTGCCTCCTGCAACGCCCCCCCCCCCCCCCCCCAGGGATGTGCCTGCAACCAAGGATGTGCCTCTGTCCACTGAGCCAAACCGGTTAGGGCTGCACACACTTTAATTAGCACCTTTAGCACAGTGGGATCACACCTGAGCAGCTGCTCTGCTCCTGCCTGCCCCCCCCACCCCGTGTTGGGGCCCTGTCCTGCCTGCTGTGTTCTCAGGGACGAGGTCCCTACACAAGGTGTCTGGCTGTCTGGGCCCACCTGGTTCCGGGGTCCTGTTTTCAGAGGTGGGTCGGATTCTGGTGCAGCCCTGTGTCTTTATGACCCTGTTCTCTCAGGACCACCTGCTTAGCTGTGCCCACCCACGCTGTGCACCTCTTGCCCCTTTGTCAGGTGCCCACTGCTCTCCAGCTGGCCCTTGGGAAAGACCCAGTACACTCTCTCCCCACAAGGTGTGAGTCAATGATGGTTTAATTTAAGAACAGTTTTATTTTTGAATTATGTCCACCTTGCTAATTATAGAAAGCCCACAAAATAACAAAATAGCCCAGGTGCAAAAAGTCAGGTAGGAAAAAATAAGAGTTATCAAGAATCACATTGAGAAGTAAAATACAGAACTACCAGGAGCCATAGTGAAATAATGTAATTGGGCAGTGGGCTTAATTTGAGCTTCCTGACAGCAAAGGCAAAAAGGGAAATAAGATGGGTTACTGTATCTGGAGAAAATGGTCTCTTATCTGTGTGTGTACAAGAAGGATGTTCTCCAAGACTGAGTTCTGAGGAGTGGATTGCTTTGGTATCAAAGCTCACACTCATGTTGTCATCAACTTGATTGGCCTCTCTGGCCGAGAGATCTTCACAGAGTGGCACTGGGATGATTTGGGTGATGGAGCTAGGCCTAGGCTTTCTCCTTGGGCCTTTCATGGCCACTGCTTTGCTGGCAGAAAAATATATGGTGCTTCTGGTGTCCTCTGGTCCTGTCCAAGGACAGTGGGTGAGGGTGGGGGACATGTACACTTCAAACCAGGTTGTTCATGGTCATGGCGCCAGACCTATTGAATGCCCTGGGACTAGGTTCCACACCATTCAAGAGGGAAGAGGTACGGCCTCTGTTTCATCAGTGCAATCTGTCCTCAAAGATGGCTTCTGGGGCTGAAAAATGGGGGCAAACCCATGGGGTGTCTGGGGCTGCATTCAAGGCATCCTTACGTCACCTTCCCTTCTCTCCATGGGTTTCTGAAGGGCTTTGAAGAGCCACTGGCATTGGTGGCAGGTTTTGTACCTGAGGAGCCAACAGCAAGAAAAGGACATTTGGGGCCATGTGGGGAGGTGGCAGTGGCCCCACTATTGTATGGGGTGTATGGAGGGTTATGAGCACCCCAGGCTGGTGGGGCAGGGCCCCTCTCTTGTGGCAGTGCTGCGCCTGGACTGTGGATGGACCGGGAGGTGGGCACGGGCAGAGATGGGCGAAGAGGGCTCTCATGGGACATGGGGAGGGAGTCTAGTTTGGAAGAAGCCAGAGATTTAATTTAAAGAGGAGGGCCGGTGACTGAGGCCACTGAGCTCAGGGTGGCCTGACCTCTGACCTGTGATAGTTTGTATGGCGGCATGGCCTTCCATGCAGAGATGTGCGGATTCCATCCTGCCCGAGGCAGCAAGAGCGAGGAGACGGCCCTCAAGGCAACTGAGGTGTCACTGCACAGGTGCCGCTGAGCTGGGCATTCTTCATGCATCATTGTGCATTTTACCCAAAGCAGGGACGTTTCCTTGATACCAAAGGCTGCCTTCCCCGTTCTGCACATTCCCTGGAAGTAAGCTGGCTGGTCTGGTAGTGGCTGATGTGACAGAGGGTCCCAGGCTCCTGTTGCCAGCACTGGAGATCGGTGGCTTTTATCCAGGTGAGGCCAGGAGGCGCCTGGGCTGTGCATGAAGGATACTTGCTCTCTGCCCATCGTGCCAGCACAGTGTGGACCAACCCAGGAAACCTCCCTTTCTGGGTCTTCAGGACGAGCCTGTCTTCAGGGTGGATGGTCCTCAGGCCTTCTCCACACCCATCTGTGGGTCGGGAGACGAGTGTTAGACATTTGTCGCAGCCGCACCTGGGGGCTGGGCTTGTTCTGCCTTCTGTGAGCCTCAGTCTGCGCATCTGTAAGATGGGAACGAGGCCGTGTAGCCAGACGTGAGAAATGTGTGTGGGACATGAGTCTCAGAGCACCTTTCCCTCCCTGTCCAGGGCATAACAAACGTGGTGACACTTCCCACCTTGCTGACTCCTCTTCCTGTCCCTGCCCCCAGAATGTCCAGCTTCGTGGAGCCGCCTGATATTGTGAAGAAACTGTCCTGGGTAGAAAACTACTGGCCTGATGATGCGTTACTGGCCAAGCCCAAGGTGACTAAGTACTGCCTGATCTGTGTGAAGGACAGCTACACCGACTTCCACATCGACTCTGGGGGCGCCTCTGCTTGGTACCACGTGCTCAAGGTGAGCCCTGGGGGCTTGCCCCGCCCGTGACCAGGTCACTGTGGGTCTGCAGGACTGTCTGCAGTCTTCACGAGCACGAATCCCTGGGCAGGACCAGGGACAAGATGTTTCTACCACTGGAGGTGTGGGGGACAGGGGCACCTCAAGACCAAAGCAACAGGCCTGCGTTGCCTTTTCTAAAAACTGGGACTCGTGAGGCAATCAGAGGCCCACCCTGGGGAGTGGTGACTGAGTGTTCAGTGGCCACTCTTATCCAGGGAAGGGAGAGCAGTGCTGGAAAGAATTCCTGAAGGAGGGGACAAGGGCGCTTGCCCTAAAGGAGTGGGGCTTCAGATGCATCTGAGCGTCCCTGCAGACTGAGCAGGTCCCTTCCTGTGTGGCCCTCAGTCTGTCTGCCCCGAGAGGGAGGGGCTCTGTGTCTCCTGGTGGGGCTGGCCAGGCCTGGCAACCCCAGGGGCCGCCTTCCATCTCCAGCTGAGACACAGCCTCTCTAAGTACAGCTTTCCTGTAATTCACGAAACCAAGGGGGTCACAGCTCTGTGTCCCCTTGGCACACATGGTGCCTCTATTGCTGCAGAGTTATGGTATGTGGGGTGGCGAGGGTGCCCAAACGTGTTGGGGACTCCTATGCCTAGAACCTTCCAAACACACCGACTTCCGAACTTAAAACACGTGTGGCTCCAGCGTTTGCCAGACGGTGGCCTGGGTAGGCTGAGCCAGGACCCAGCACCAGGACATGGAGGGCCCTGCCCAGGCCCCAGCATCCCGGGTTGCGGCAGGCTCTGTCATCACGGAGCTCACAGCACATGGCGAGCTGTCAATGGCCTCTCGTTGGCAGGGGGAGAAGATCTTCTATCTCATCAAGCCGGCTTCGGCCAACATCTCCCTGTATGAGCGCTGGCAGTCGGCCTCGAACCACAGTGAGATGTTCTTTGCCGACCAGGTAGACAAATGCTACAAGTGCACCCTCAAGCAGGGCCAGACGCTCTTCATCCCCTCTGGTGAGTGCTCTGTCCGTGTACCACATACCCACCACTGGGGTCTGCCCCGGGAGGGCCCGTGTGGGTGTCTGCTGCCTTGTCCTGGGGCAAGCCCGTTGTGCAGTCACCTCTGGGGTCACCTCAGGCCAAGAGCCCTAGCAGCCCCCAGCCTGGCTATGCTCACAGAAGCCGGGCCAGGGCCCCCAAGAGCTGGGCCATGCTGTTTGAGGTGTTTGCTGATCTTGACATTTCAAACATCGTAGGAGGAAGCAGGACGTGAGCAAATAAGTGCCCTTTACAGGTGTCATAGTGCTTCACTTGTAAATATGTCCCCATCTCTGAAAGGCTTCCTTTTAAAAGGACATGATTACAGTCCTGTCGTTGCACCTTACAAATGAATGGTTAACAAGTCCTTAGTGTCACCAAATAGCCGGCTGATGCTCAGATTTTCTGATGAGACCTCATGTTTCCATTGACTTATCTGCCCCTGTGCCTTTCTTGATCTAGGTACCCGCTCCCCCCCCCCCACACACACACACCTGGTTCCCCACAATCAGTTTCCCAGTCTGGCCCAGGCTGCATCTCTGAGGATGATGTAGGGAGAACCCCAGTTCTCCAAGGAGAGGTGGCAGCCCTGCATCATCTCCTTCTGTCCCTGCGTGTAGGGATCGGGAATGATGGGTAGCCTGACCCTGGGTGGTCTGAGCACGTCCCCTCCGCTCCCAGGCCTGAGTTTCCCCATCTGTACTGTTCAGGGCTGGATTGAGCAGACTGGGCCAGCTCGGACACAGTCTCCTTCCTGGAGGGCCCACCCACTCAGTACACGAGGCCAGGCCAGAGGTCCTTCCATGGGTATCAGGTGGGCAGGGGCACTGAGCCCATGCTGGCCAGACAGGCCAGGCAGCCACCGAGAGCCTGGCGTGAGAACGCCGTGAAGGGCTAGCCACATCTGTCTCCCCCAGGCTGGATTTATGCCACACTCACGCCCGTGGACTGCCTGGCCTTCGCGGGACATTTCCTCCACAGCCTGAGTGTGGAGATGCAGATGAGGTAGGGCCATACCTGCCTCGGGGCTCCACCAGGCAGGGTCCCCACCATCAGTGTGATGCCACCTCCCCTGAGTGGCTGGGCCTCCATGATCGTGGGAGGAAGGAAAAGATGGGCCCTTGAGGTGCCTCGTGTCTGGACAGCCTCCATGGCCCATGGCGGGTTTGAAATGAATGGAAAGGCCAAGCTGCCTTCTCCATAGGCACTGACCCAGAGGTCTAGAAGCCACGGCCAATGGGCACTGGGCACTGGGCACTCGCCCCAAAGTGATCCCCTGGTTCATCTCACCACCCAGGGCCAGCAGGGAGGCCTGGCCAGGCATGGCCTCGGTGTGGCCTTGTCTGGCCGTGGGTGTGGCACGGGCCCACCAGTGTTTAGTGTCGCCTGCTCAGGGCTCAGAGCATTGAATAGTTCTTTGCTGTGGCTTCCAGAGCATACGAGGTGGAAAGAAGATTGAAACTGGGCAGCCTGACTCAGTTTCCCAACTTTGAAACTGCCTGCTGGTACATGGGAAAGCACCTGCTGGAGGCTTTCAAAGGTACGTCCCGGCACCTTGGCCTATAGCTTCGGGCCATTTGTGTGTGTGTGTGTGTGTGTGTAGGGGGGGGGGGCGGGGGGCGGCTCAGGGACACCAGGAGGGGAACAGGGCTGCCCTCACACAGCCGAGCAGCCAGACCCTGGGGCAGATGGAGCGCTGCCTGCAGGAGGCTGCCCACGCTCCTCAGAGCCGGCTCGGTCCCCCTGGCTGGGCCTGTGGGGCTGGACTGGACTCTGGCCTGTAGGGCCATCAGGCGTTTCAGAAAGAGAGCTGCCACGTGGTCCCAGCCTGGCGTGCCTTCTGCTTGGTGGCCGTGGCCTCATGTGGATACTGACAGGGCTCAGTCGGGACATCCGAGGCCTGGGGGTCTGGCTGGCCTGGGCCACCAGCTGAGGGACTCCTGAGCCTCCCCCCTGTGTGTGCGTGTCCTGGTCCTGTGGGGGTCCCCGGGGAGGGGCGGGCTCCAGCGGGTCCCTGACCTCCGAGGACATGGCGCCCTCAGTCCCAGGCCCTTGCAGGCCAGACCGTGGGTGCCGGGGCTGCGCCGACCCCCAGGCCCGCAGACTTTCCGCAGCCTCGTGGGGCACGGAGGACCTGTGCTGCCGTGCGCTCCTTTCTCAGCGGAGCCTCTGGAAGCTGCTCTGTTGAGCAGAGTTGAGCCCACCTATTGGGACTCTGGTTTGGGCTTTAGTTTCTCAGGAGAGGAAGCTGAAAATGTTTCTTAATCTGAGCCGGCCAGGTTTCATTGAAATTTGTCCATTGAGCCCCAAATTCTGAGCTCTGAGCTATATCGTGGCAGAGGGAGCACCCTGCCCAGGGGGATGTGGTGGGAGGCTGGGTGGGGAGTGTGGGTGGAGTCACAGCTGGCACTGACTGACAGCCCAGGAGGACTCTGGCCAGCCAAGCCATGCTGGGGTCCCCAGCCGCTCTGCCTCAAGTCCTCTGTGAAGGCTCAGAGCATAGCTCTCCAGGGCCAGGAGGACGGAGGGAGCTGCCTCCTGCCAGGGAAACAATCACGGGTGGTGTCAGCTCTCTGGCAGCTGCTCTGTCCCTTTTCCATGGGCTGGCCCCGGCCCCCAAGGGCATCTTCTTGATGGGCCCCAGTGGGAACTGACCCCCTCCCTGGTGTCTCAGCCGTGCAGGGGGCGATGTGAGGGTGGGGATCAGAAAGCACGAGGGATGCTTGGTGCGCACAACTCTGACCCCTGGCTGAGGTGGACCGGGGACCAGGCCGAGGGAGAGCCCGGCCACCTGTGTGAGAGGCCCGAGTGGGACCGGGGGGCAGTTCTGCCCTGAGGGCGTCCTGGATGCATGTCCCCCAGGTTCCAAGAGGAACCGTTGGCAGTTGGGCAGGTGGCAGTGGGCGGAGGCCTCTGGAAGGTCTCCCACCCTCCACCCCACCCTGGGTGTGAAGTTGCCTGTGGGCAGCAGGTAAGGACCGGCCGCACCCCCCTGAGCTCGCATCTCCATCTCTCCCCAGGTTCTCACAAATCCGGGAAGCAGCTGCCCCCTCATTTAGTTCAAGGAGCTAAAATTCTCAATGGTGCTTTCAGATCATGGACAAAAAAGCAGGTAGGCCCTGTGCCGGCGTGGCCCGGGGTGCGGGAGGATGGCAGGCCGGAAGCCATCCCAGGGCTCATCTGCCTTTCCGGGGAACGAGTATCTGAAGAGTAGGAGGTGCCAGCACCCCAAGTCAGACAGCTGGGTGCGGGGTGTGGAAACGGGAGCGCGCTTCCTCCTGGAGCCTGGTCTAAGGTGGGGCGGGGGGGCCTGGAGATTGAGGGGGCCAGGCTGGTGGTAGAGACAGCACTGAGTGAACCCAGGGAGAGAGGCCAGGGAGTGGGAGGACTCTGAGCAGCCTCTGACTGGCTGGCCGAGTGTTACACTGTGGGCAGGAGAGAGGGACTCCCTCTCAGCCCTTCCCGGCCCAGGCTCAGCTCTCTCCAGCTTTGCTCTTCCTCCTGGACTGCCCAAGGCCACCTGCAGGATCACTGTCCTGTGCCCCCCACTGTCCTATGGCCCCCACTGTTTTCTGCCCCCACTGTCCTGTGCCCCATGTCCCCCGCAGTAGCCCTGTCCTGTGTCCCCCACTGTCTTATGACCCCCACTGTCCTGTGCCCCCATATCCCTCACAGTAGCACTGTTCTGTGGCCCCCACTGTCCTGTGGCCCCCACTGTCCTATGCCCCCCTACTGTCCTGTGCCCCCCCCCACTGTTCTGTGCCCCCCACTGTCCGGTGGACCCTACATTGAATATTAACACCTTCACTAGCTCCTATGCAGTAGCTGTTTTCCGACAATGGGGGCCCCAGAGAAGCAGCTTCAGACTTCCCTTGGGATGTTGCCTGGGTTGTGGGGACAGAGCGAGGGCAGGGCCCCATCAGCCTGGGCACTCTCTGTGGCAGCGTCCCTTCCCCCAGAGGGGAGCCAGCACTGTCTGAGCAGGCCCTCAGGAGGGGGTGGGGCCAGGAGGGGAACACCTGTGTGCTTCTTGCTTCTCTCATGGGTGGGCCTGGAGGGTGGGTGGCCAGTGCCCCCCCCACGCTGTCCTGTGGCCACATCTTCTCTGGCCTTAAGGCTTAGAGTGAGCAGTGCATGGCATCCCTCCTGCCTCACCGCAGCAGGTGGCCAGGAGAGCGGCCTTGTGTCAGGAAGAAGACAGCCCACATTCACTCCGTAGCTGGTGGTGGCTTTGGGTACCTTGTCCTCTCGGGACTCAGGTTCTCCATCTATAGAGTGGGGTCATGGCAGAGCTTTCTTGTCAGGGCAGTGTCTGGCTGGAGTGGCCTGATTTCTCCAGCACCCCATGCAGGCAGCCCCTGCCCCATGCCTGTTGGGGTAGTGGAGGGTCCTGGCCCAGTAGGCAGGGCAGGGCAGGGCAGGGCAGGGCAGGGCCTGGTGGGACAGAGAGGGTTAGTCAGGAATCAGGCTGAGCATGCTTGGGCCCCTGTGGGTGGGAGGTGGAGGGGAGGTGGGCGTGGCACAGAGGGTGAGCATCCACGTCCAGACTCAGTGGCTGACCCATTGACCCTGTGCATGGCTGTCCTGCAGGCTTTGGCAGAGCATGAAGATGAACTCCCAGAGCACTTCAAACCCTCGCAGCTCATCAAAGACCTTGCCAAAGAGATCCGGCTCAGTGAGGTAGGGCTGACTCGGGCTCACTGGCCCTGGTCATGGGAGCCTCTCTTCTCTGGCCCTCTTTAGGGCTGCCTGTCAGGAATGGCCATGTGGTCACCTGCAAGATGTGGGATCAGACTCCTTGGCCCCTGCTGCGTCTCCTGGTGGGAGTTTAGGGAGTGAGAGGTGGAAAGGGGGCTCCTCTGCAGCTCCCGGTGGGCGTGAGGGAGGATGATTCCAGCCCTGCCAGGGGTACCCACCAAGGAGGTAGAGGAATCAGGTAGCTGATGGTATAGATGAATGTGGCCATGGCACATGCATAGTACAGATGTGTCACACAGATGGTATAGACAGAGGCAAGCATGTCACATGATGGTGTAGATGGATGTGCTGTGTCATGTGGATGGTATAGATAGATGTGTGTGTATCACACAGATGATGATGTAGATGGATGTGCTGTGTCATGTCGATGGTATAGATAGATGTGTGTGTATCACACAGATGATGGTGTAGATGGATGTGCTGTGTCATGTGGATGGTAGAGATGGATGTGAGTGTATCACACAAATGATGGTGTAGATCCGTGGTCGGCAAACTGCAGCTGGCAAGCCACATGCGGCTCTGTGGCCCCTTGAGTGTGGCTCTTCCACAAAATACCACATGCGGACGCACATGTACAGTGCGATTGAAACTTCGTGGCCCATGTGCAGCAGTTGGTATTTTGTGGAAGAGCCACACTCAAGGGGCCAAAGAGCTTCATGTGGTTCGCGAGTCGCAGTTTGCCAACCACTGGTGTAGATGGATGTAGGCATGTCACACAATGGTGTAGATGGATGTGCTGTGTCATGTGGATGGTATAGATAGATGTGAGTGTATCACACAGATGATGATGTAGATGGATGTGCTGTGTCATGTGGATGGTAGAGTTGGATGTGAGTGTATCACATGGATGATGGTATAGATGGATGTAGGCATGTCACACAATGGTGTAGATGGATGTGCTGTGTCATGTGGATGGTAGAGTTGGATGTGAGTGTATCACACGGATGATGGTATAGATGGATGTAGGCATGTCACACAATGGTGTAGATGGATGTGCTGTGTCATGTGGATGGTATAGATAGATGTGAGTGTCCACACAGTGGTGTAAATGCATGCTCCTCTGCTTGAATGTCTCCCATGGCCTGGGCCATGATCCCCTTCTGACAGGAGATGGTTGGTTACCTCTTTCCTTTCCTCAGAATGCCTCCAAGGCTGCCAGACCAGAAGTGACTTCTGCAATCTCGAATGAGGTCTGTTTTGGGGACCGAGAGAAGGAGGAACCTCCATCCCCCATTGAAGCCAGCCCTCCTCGCTCCTTCCTGGAGAAAGTGTCCAAAAAAAAGACTTCCAAAACCATGAAGATACCCAAGCCATCTAAAGTCCCCAAGCCCCCCAAATCTCCCAAGCCCCCGAAGCCCCCCAAATCACTGAAGCTCAAGGATGGGGGCAAGAAGAAAGGGAAGAAGTGTAGGGGGTCAGCCTCGCCCACCATCCCCAACCTGGACCTGTTGGAGGCCCACACCAAGGAGGCACTGACCAAGATCGAGCCACCTAAGAAGGGCAAGGTGAGTGGCTGCCTCCCCACCTGTGGTCAGTTAGCCCGCAGACACCTCTGGGGCCAGGCCTGTCGGATGGAGCTGCAGCTGCCTGTTCTTGTGCCTGGGACCCAGGGCAGATGGGCTCTGCCCAAGCTTAATGTGGTGGGCAGCTGGGGAGAGACCATCACGACAAAGGCAGCAGTGTCTGTGCTGGGACAGGGTGGCAGCATGGAGGGTCACCCGGGGAGTGAGCTGGCTGAGTCTTCCCGAGACCCAGACATTGGCTGAGATCTGAAGGTGAGTGAGGCACCAAATGGAGGGCAGTGGGGAGCAGGAAGGAGACTGGCAGTGGGGGCCCGAGACCCTGTGACAGCAAGAGAGGCAGGCCTGGCCCTGAGGACCAACCAGTTTAATCAGAAGGTCTTAAGTATGGGCTTCAGGGACCATGAGTTTCTGAGGCCAGGTCTCATTGAGTGATTTGCTGCTGGCGGAAGGCTGTTAACCTTCCAAGAGGTCTGCGACCACCAGGACCAGTGTTGCAGGGCTGCAGTGGGACACCTGGTTTCCCTTCCTTATCGCAAAGAGAGTAGATAAATGAATGAATGAACAGATGGAAGGAAGAAGGGAGGGAGGAGGAAAGAAGAGTAGATGGATGGATAGTTGGTGGATGGAAGAGTGCGTGGATGGATGGATGGATGGATGGATGGATGGATGGGTGGGAGGGTGCATAGTGAATGGATGGGTGGATGGATGGATGGGTGGATAGATAGGTGCATGGTGAATGGAAGGTGAATGGAAGGTGGGCGGATGGGTGAGTGATGGATGGATGGATCGATGGATGGGTGAGTGCATAGGGGGTGGATGGGTGGATGGATAGATGAATAGAAGGGTGGGTGGATTGATAGTGGATGGATGGATGGATGAGCTGCTGCATATGGGCCAGGAGGAGAGAGGGACTCTGTGATTCTTATTTTGTCCTGTAGCCTAAGGTAGCTCCCTGCCCTCCCATGTCCACCACTGAGTCATGGCTGCTGTTTTCTAGGCCACAAAGAGCGTCCTGAGTGTGCCCAACAAGGAGGTAATCAGCACACAGAACGATGTGGAGAGGCTGGAAATCCGAGAGCAAACCAAGAGCAAGTCAGAGGCCAAGTGGAAGTACAAGGTGAGATGTATGCCTGTGGGCGAGCATGTGTATGCACGAGTGTGTTCGCATGGCATGTGCACACACATGTGTTTGTGTGTGCACATATGTGGACATGCATGTGTGTGTGTGCGTGCACCTGTGCGTCAGGGAGCGCTGCGTTTATGAGAGGTGGTGTGCGGGGCGTTTGTGGGCTTGGTGTTGTGAGCAGAGGTACATGGCATGTACAGCCATGTTGTGAGCAGAGGTACATACCTGTTCTTATAGGGCATGTACAGCTTTGTGTCACCTGTCCCCAGGTCAGGTCTGGGTGTGTGTGACCTTGGAGGGGCCACTCCCCATGGGATTGTTATGGGAGCATTCGGGCCTGAGGCTGAGCTTGTTGCCCTTTGAGCTGACTGATGGCATTGCCCTCCCTCACCCCACGCTGGGCTGAGCTCACACTCCCAAGACAGGTCCTCCAGGTCCATGGGTCCCTGGATGACGTGTTCAGAGGGAGGAGGCTGGTTGGTCCCACTGCCTCTGCCCACTGGAATCCTGTGTGGGACTTAACAATGGTCCCGGGTTTGCTTTTCAGAACAGCAAACCCGACTCTCTGCTGAAGATGGAGGAAGAGCAGAAGTTGGAAAAGCCTCCTACATCAGGGAACAAGGACACCAAATTCTTATTTTCCTTCTCCAACAAGAAACTTCTGGGGTACGTGATGCTCCTGGCAGGAGGGCTCACAGTCACACACACACTCCCAGACCCCCTACATCACACACCCTGCACACCCCTTCACACACATCACACACATCATGCACATGTACTCACGCCCTGCACACCCATCTACACACACACACACACACACACACACACACACACATGCCCCCTGCACACACATCACACACATCATGCACATGCACTCACACCTTGCACACCCCTCCATGCACAGCACACCCCTCACACACATCACACACATCATGCACATGCACTCACGCCCTGCACACCCATCTACACACACACACACACACACACACACACACACACACATGCCCCCTCCACACACATCACACACATCATGCACATGCACTCACACCTTGCACATCCCTCCATGCACAGCACACCCCTCCACACACATCACACATATCCTGCAAACCCCTCCATACACACCCTGCACACACACACTTACCTGGAGGTCTCAGGAGCAGCCCCTTCCTGAACTGGCTGACGTCACTGGGAATACCTCTTGTGAGGGCCACGCCGGGCAGGCCCCTCCTCTGCCTCCTAAGCCAGTAGCTTGTGTGGATGGGGAGGGACAGCAGCGTGTGTTGGCAGGGAGGGAGGGAGGGGGAGAGCGTGATTGGGTAGATATTAGCTGAGTGCTGTTTGGGGCAGAGGACGTAGTGGAGGTCAGGACCCTGTCCTTGGATGCCAGAGGCCAGTGTGGGGGGCAGCGTGAGCCCAGTACTCTCAAATCCACCTAAAATTATGCCTGTGACAGGGACTGTGGGTCCTTGTGTGCCAAGGGAGTTGAGAGGGCTTCCAAGAGGAGGTGACCTGAGCTGAGACATTGGGGTGCCAGCCTGGGAGTGGGTGTGTGGTTTCCAGCTGGTGGAACAGGCCCATGTCTGCTGACAGCATGCCAGCCCAGCCCAGTGCCAGGTGTACGGGACGGTCTTCATGCCCCTGAGAAGTCTCACCGACTGTGGGCCCACAGGTTGCTTGCTGAGTCAAGTCCAGGTTGGGTGCCCCGAAGCCAGGAAGCAGATACATCGCAGCAGAACGGGCCCCTTTTCTGTGGTGGGCGTGTTTCCTCACCTGCGAGATGGGAGGGGAGAGCCGCTCCAGGTGGCGGAGCAGTGGGGTGGGGCCGGCATCTGGTGGCCAGGCAGAGCCGGGTAGGCAGGCCCATTATTCCCAAGAACGCGTGGCCACATGCCGAGGACGCTCGGCGAGCAGGTGGGAAGGGTCTGGTCTGTGGCCCTGTTGCCCTGACCTCATGGCTCTGAGCTCGTCCTGGAGAGCTTTTGAACGCATTCACTCTGGGACCCACCATGCTACAGAGAGTTTAGAAGTGCGGGAGAGGAAGGTGGACATGACTCTGTAGCCACATCACACCTGTGTGTGTGTGTGGTGTTACCGGCTCATACCCACACCCAGCAGGCTCGCCGGTGGTCAGCCTCTGTGTTTCTACAGCTGGGGATTAGAGCTGTAGCCCAGCCTCTGTCTCCCTAGGCCCGAGCCAGGGGGAGGCTGCGGCCAGAGCTTGCGGGGCGGGCAGAAGGAAGGCTGTGCTGGTCCAGTGGCCAGGGTGGGGCAGTGCAGGGCACACCCTGAGACAGCTCAAGGAGAGGCCTTGTGTGGGCGGGGAGGGCCAGGCCATACCTTGTGAGCTGTGCGCTGTCCTCGCCGGCCCCTGGCATCTGGGAGGGAGCTGTGGGATCGGTCAGTGTTCGGCATGACTGCTGACCCTCTGCGCCGTGGCAGAGTGGTGGGGCACTGGCTGGGCCATGTGGACCCCCCACTGACCAGTCCACTTCTGTCCCAGCTCCAAGGCCCTCAAGCCACAGCCGAGCCCAGGGGTGTTTGGGGCCTTGCAGAACTTCAAGGAGGACAAGCCCCAGCCCGTTCGGGATGAGTATGAGTACGTGTCGGATGACGGGGAGCTCAAGATTGATGAGTTTCCCATCAGGAGGAAGAAAAATGCCCCGAAGAGAGACCTGTCCTGTAAGTTGGGGGGATGTGGAGGGGCAGACCCAGCCCTGTAGGGCCATCCTGCAGAGGGTGGGTGTCAGGCGTGGCTGGCCAGGGCGATCCTCTCAAAGCCACCATCAACTCCCGTCTGCTTTGGCCTCAGTCTTACTGGACAGGAAGGAGCCGCTGCCCACACCTGTGACGAAGCCAAAGCTGGACTCGGCGCTCTACAAGGTGAGCTCCTTCGGAGACCCCGTGGCCGGGGGCCGTGCGCGTTCTGCTTGGGGTGCAGCTGAGTGTCTTCATGTGCCGCCCTCTTCTTGGAGTTTTTGTGGGGAGGCTGGCTGGGTGCCAGCTGTGGGGACGTGAGCCCAAGGCCTTGCACAGAAGCGGGGAGAGCAGGTGTGGGTGTGGAGGGTCTGCAGGTCTGTGCGAGGGGTGGGCCTCAGGAGCGCCCAGCCAGATGCCATGAAGACGTGCCCCACTGACCCTGAGGATCGGGTGCAGAGCAGGGCTGGACCTGCTGGGGGACTAAGTTAGAGGACTGGTAAGGCCTCATCCAACCACGATGTGGCAGCTGTCTCCAGTGAGCCTGGGGTCTGCATGGGGGTCTCCCCTGCTGCCCGGGGAGCCCGGCGTTTCCCCTCAGAGCCTCCTGCCAGGACTGTTAACTGGAGCCTTGGGTGCGGGGAGTCCTCCTGTCTGCTCCTCACCTGACGGCGCTGGCTCCTTTGTACCTGTGCTCAATACCGGGGCTCCTGCATATGGTCTTGGGCCCAGGGTTCCTCTGGGAAACAGTGCTGGGCAGGATGGCGCCAGGTCCTTTGCGGGCAGGCTCCACAATCCCGATGGAAAACCCCAGTAACCACCTGGGCGTCCGGCCAGCCAGCCCCACATGCTCATCACAGGTTGGGATCTCACATTTTTAATTTTTCCTTATTTTATTTTTTAATTTTTAAAAACTTCTTTTTTTTTGTCAAGGGGAACGGTATTCCTGTCGCTCCCCCCAGCTCTGTTCTGACCGGCTCCCCATCCCCACAGCCGAGCGACGACTCCTCGGATGAGGGCTCCCTGCGCATTGACACGGACACCAAGCCCACCCGCAACGCCAAAGTGAAGAAGGACGGCGGGGGCTCGGCCGCGGGCATCCTGGACCTGCTGCAGGCCAGTGAGGAGGTGGGCGCGCTGGACTACAATCCCAACAGGTAGGCCTGGGCCAGCAGTGGCAAGGGGCGTGGGTGCCTCTGCATGGGCCGTGCGGGGTCTGAGGTAGGGCTCTGTTGGCTGTGGCAGTTTGCACGCAGGGGTCTCACGTCGCAGGAGCCCACGCCCCAGGGACTGGGTAGGCAGAGGAGGACCCCTGCCTGGCAGAGGGGGTGCCGGGCAGTCAGGGAGGTGCAGGTTTGCTGGCCATGCAGGTCCTGCATGTCTGCGGGGTCTTGATGGAGGACACAGAGCTCCAAGGACAGAGGGTCCTCCCCACCATAGTTCCAGGTGCCAGGCAGGGAGGCGGCTGAGAAGTGATGGCGGGTGGGGACTGTGGCAGGAGGAGTTGAGGGGCAGTGGAGGGGCTGCTGTACCTGGGGGACCCTTTGGGGAAGCAGTGCCCGGGCAGGCACCTGCCAGGTGTCAGGGCTGCTCCCGGCTGGGACGTACAGCCATCTCTGTCTTATCACTTTCTGAATGCCATAAACATAACGTCAGAAAATTTCCATGGTGCGCACCCGACGTCCGAGTCAAGGGCATGTGATGAGCCTCTCTGAGACCCAAGGCTGCCTTCCCTGCAGAGGCCTCACCCTGAGGCCCGGGAGACAGTGGCTCAGAGCACAGAAGTGAGCACCTGCCCCCTGAGGGGCTGAATTGGCACCAACGGGGGCAGACTGTCCTTGAGTCTAGATGTGCGGCCTGTTAGCTGGGTCGAGCCCTCTCACGGGGGTGGGGATGCTGTCCTGTCCTGGAGCCCTGAGATTCCGAGCTGAGGGGCAGGTCGTCCAGGGTGTGTATCCATCATCTCAGACCAGGTGGCCCTTCCCGCCCAGGCCTGACGAGTTCGATTCTCTGATTCAAGAAAAATGGATTAATCTGGGCTTTGCATTCAATGAAGGGCTGGGGCTTGTTTCTCTCTCACTCCCAGTTAAGTTTTGTTTTTAGGCATTTCGGGCAGTTCTCCTCCCCCCGACCCCCCAACATGGAATTTCTACAAGTACTGCAGAGCTGAGGCCTATGCCCCCTGTAGCCTCCCACTCGAGGACCTTAGCCACTGTGGGGAGGTCTCCCCTTCTTGTACTCAAGACAGCAGCAGATTCCTGCAGCATAGATGGGAAAAGGCCATTCTGGCTCAAGGCAACTCTGCTAGGAGGCAGCAGAGGGAGGACCAGAACCTCCGTCTGCCTGGAAACAGAACCGCACATGGGGCACCAGGAAGGTTGATCTTGTGGGGTGGTGTCATCCAGGCCAGAGTGACTTGGCCTGAGGAAGCTGGGGCCCGTGTGGCCTGCGTGATGCCCTCTCTGTCCCCCAGATCTGCCCTCCACACATCCCCCTCTCCTCTGAGTCCATGTTCCCAGAATTGAGGTCCCACGGCTGTGAGTCTGCTGTGGAGGCCACACGCCAAGCCCACCTTAGATAGAGGGGCTCTCGGAGGTGATTGGGGCTTAATTGAAAAGGGCTCCTGCTAATCAAATGGACGTATTTTCATTCATAAGTTACTATTTTTTGTGCAGTGTCACGCCCTCTTACGGGGGTGGGTACAGGTTCCCTGTCAGCTTTAAGGGGTTTCTGTGAAACCTAAGCCCCTCACTGCAGGGATGCCCTGGACCTTTGCCAGGAGAAGGCTGGCTGTGAGCCGCTTTCCTGGAGGCCCCATGCCCCTTTTGGGTGCCTTTTTCTGAGTAGAACTGTGGCGAGCCAACACCTCAGTACCTGGGTGGCACTCTGACCTGGAGAGAAGCCCTAGACACCCTGGGCTCCTGCAAGGTCCAGGGAGATACCTCGGGTTGAGGAAGACGGGCTGGTGCCCAGGACTCGCTTGGAGCTGGGAACACAGGTGCCTTGGCTTGGGCTCCCGACCAGCCTGGCAGGCCCAGCTCCAGGAGGACCGTGGGTCTGCGGATGTGCTGCCCACACTGCACACGTGCCTGCAGGGCTGCCCCCGCCCCCCCTCCCCCCCCTGCGCCAGCCTGCCACAAGCAGGCCCTCTCCAGTCTCCCATTTGGAGCGTAGGTCAGTGTTTGATGGTCCATTTGCTCTGTTTTAAGTATTCGCTGTTTGGAAAAAATCAGCTGAAGAAAATGGAGGAAACTATGTTAATTTCTGGTGGATGGTTTGCTTAGTGTTTACCTCTGGGGGAAGGAGAGGGTTTGGGCAGGATAATTGGAGGATTAAGGTGGTACTTTCCATGTGCACTGCTCAGCCTTCGCTCCTTGATCTGCGCCTGCTGTGGACAGATGCCGCCCCGGCGGTGGCCCTCGTGGTTGCAGCTGAGCTGGGCCTCGGGGTTCAGCTGGTATGAGCGGGAGGCTGGCTCCTAGGGAACCCTCCAGGTGGAGGGCTCTGGCCCCCACCTTCCCATCCTCTTCGGAAGCCTGGCATCTGTCTGGTCCGAGGCTGGGTAAAGGACCTAGACCTTAGGGCCGGCCGTATCCTGCCCTCCCTCCACAGGGCCTGGTGCAGAGGGTGGAGGGCCAGCTGTGGGCTTGCTAGCTCCCATGCTTCCGAGAGCATCCGTGAAGATGGTGTGGCAGTGACGCTGCCCAATGTGCCATGCCCCCAGCAATGTCTGGGCAGCCCTTTGCTCGTGCTTCGTGGGCAGAGCAGGCCATGGTGCTGGGGGGCCAGTCCTGGGCACTGGGGCAGACAGAGGCCCAGCTGGGGGTTCTTGAAGAACCAGGGTGGTCTGACTCTACCTGATTTTCCTATTGTTTGTGGCTTAGGAACATAATTCTGTTCAGTTCCAGTGAAACCCCAGAACACTCTGGGCCAGTGCATCTTGGGTGGGAGGGGGAGGTGGTGTTGGAGGGGGCTGCCCATCACCTCCCCCCTCCGCGTGGCCTGGAGCCCAGCGGTGCTTCTCTCAGGATGGCTGCTGTCCACACTTGCCGAGGGGCCCCTGACTCAGGGACTGTCCTGCGTGCCTGTGCCCTCTGTGTCAGCTCCATCTCTCCGCCCCCTCCCGCTTCAGCCTTGGGAGGCTCTTGTTTCTGAGCAGGTACTCTTGACCTCTTCTCGCTCTAATGGTCTTAATAAATACCAGAGGCCCGATGCACGAAATTCGTGCTAGAGCAGGCCTTCCTTCCCCTGGCTGCCAGCACCGGCTTCCCCCGCAGCCCCAGCTTCGTCTGGAAGGTCGTCCAGTCTAATTAGCATATTACACTTTTATTATTATAGATGCTTCAAACACTTTTTGGAAGTGGAGGTGGGAGCAAGGAGGAGACAGTGTGAGAGAGGAGGATGCAGAGCCCTCCCGCGTGGACCAGTGCTTTTTGGTGCTGCCTCGGGGTCACGGCAACCCTGTGGGCAGGTGCTCCCCTGGGAGGCCGGTCAGAGGGGCAGACAGGATGGGGCTCCTGCTGCCTTCTCCTGGGACTCTGGGGTCTGTGACAGGAGGAGGATAAGCGGGGCTGCAGTTCCCCAACCCCACACCCGGCTCCCGGACCTGCCCCCCAGGACTCCAGGGAGCAGAGGGAGGGCCACCCTCCCCCACTGGCCCTGATGCAGGGAGAGGTGTGGGTGGGACCCACAGGCTGGCTTTCCATTCTCTTCCGGGTGACGGCCAGAAATGGCCCTAAAGGTTGATACCCCACTGGACTAGGCCCTCTGGGAGCTGCCTGGCGGGGCACTATGCCTTGTGGGGATGTGGGGGGTGAGCAGGGCAGGGCCCTCTGTCCTAGTTGCAGGGGTACCTGGAGCCCAGGCCAGTCTAGAATCTCTGGCATTTATTGGTATTGACATGTATAATCTACCAGGACTTTCTGGTATCCTTAGGGGTACTGGCTGTGAGAAGTGTAGGCTGGGGCATGGGTGGGCTCTGAGACAGGGGAAGGGCATGGAGCAGGGAAGTGCCCCCCACACTCTCGGAGGCTGGGCAGGTCCCTCTGAGAGGGTCTGCAGTCGAGGAGGGGAGGGAGGCCGCTGGAGGAAGCCTGGACTCAACCTGGGGTGTTGGACTGTTCAGAGCTCTCTGGACCTGGCTCTGTGGGAAGGGGCCACCCATCCACCCTCCCAGAACCAGGGCAACACATAACCAGGTGTTGGGTAGTGGTGCCGGCAGCACTGGGTGTTTCAGAAGCCAGAGCAGGTCCTTCTGGAGGGAGGGAGCCAGAGCACCCAGGGGAGGCGGCAAGGGCTCAAGCATGGGGCAGGTGACAAGGACGTGGTCAGAAAAGCATATGCTGGTGCTGGGGGACAGCGCTGCCCGAGCTGGAGGGCAGCAGGGCGAGGTCGGGGGGGAACGTGGCATTGAGAAGCTGCCTCATTTCAGCCTGTACATCCTGGGGGCTGAGAGGGACTAAGGTCTGACGGAGCTGAGGTGGGGCTGTCTGCCAGGTGACGTACAGGTGGAGGTCAGAGCAGGTGGAGGTGCAGATGTGGGTTTAAGTAGAGGTGCAGCTGCACGTGTGGGTGTGAGTATAGATGCAGATACAGGTGGGGTGTAGGTGCAGGTGTAGGTGGGGGTGTGGCTATAGGTGGGGGTGGTGTAGAGGTGTGGGTGTAGGTGTGGGTCCAGGTGTAGATACAGTTGCAGGTGTGGGTGTAGGTTAGATGTGTGTACAGGATCAGGTGTAGATTTGAGTGTAGATGTAGTTGCAGGTGATGGCACAGTCACAGAGAGAACATGAGTATCACCTGGGCAGATCATATCATGGGAGCGAGAGTGTGGTACCCCCGTGAAGGGTGCCCTCGAAGGCACTGTGGGAGGAGCACGTGGGCTGTGACTGAGGGCAGGATCCATGGTGGGAAAGCAGCATGGGGGGGATGTCAGACCAGCCAGCTGCAGTGGAGGGGGGCTGACAGTTTGGGGCCTCAGTCTGCCAATGACCTCCCTTCTGTCCCTCTTTCTCCCCTCCCTCTGCTTTCCTTCCCTGTGTTCCCTCTCTACACCCCTCTGTCTATCGGGAGGAGGGCAGAGGGGCCATTTCCACGGGAAGTCTTCAACCACCATCACCCTCCCCACATCTCCACTGATCACTGGAGGGAGGATGTGCGGGCTGTGGTGTGGCTGGGTCTGATGCCTGTCTCTCTATGCCTCCAGCCAGCCCCCGGCCTCCCCCAGCACACAGGAAGCCATTCAGGGAATGCTATCCATGGCCAACCTGCAGGCCTCGGACTCCTGCCTACAGACCGCGTGGGGCGCGGGCCAGGCCAAGGGCAGCTCGCTGGCGGCCCACGGCGCCCGGAAGAACGGGGCGGGCGGCAAGAGCGCAGGCAAGCGGCTGCTGAAGAGGGCGGCCAAGCACAGCGTGGACCTGGACGACTATGAGGAGCAGGACCACCTGGACGCCTGCTTCAAGGACTCGGACTATGGTGAGCGCCGCGCGCAGAGCCTGACCGTGGAGCTGGCCTTTCTTAGGAGAGAGAATTCAGAGACCATACGTCCCCTGTTAGGGTGCGCAGCGCAATACGCACAGGTTGTTAGCCTCAAACACCTCTTGGAGCAAAGGCGCTCTGCGGGCCAGGTAAACGGTACTACCCCTAAGGCAGTGTATTTGTCCAGGTTTAAGACAAACATCCGGTAAGAAAATAAATGACCGTGTCCGTCCTGAGACCTTGGCGGCCCAGAGGTATAATAGCGCTGCTTCCGCTGCGCAGCTGGGGCTGTGCTCTGGCCTGGGCCGGCGTGCGACAAGTGCCCTCCCCTCTCACCAGGTGAGGATGCCCCCGCGGCAGCCTCGGCTCCCACTCCGCTCCAATAAAGTATGGGGAAGGGGCTCGGAAAATAAAGAGGAACGTTAAAGGACACTTCCTGCCGGCTCCTGGCTCCGTTGGAGCAGGACCTACGTGTCACCATTGCTGTGGGGACAGCACGCGCGCACGCGAGCACACACACACACACACACACACACACACACAAGGTGTGCAGCTCAGTGGTGTTTACTGTATTTAGAGGGTGTGCCACCATCACGACAGCCAATCGGAGCCCGTCACCCCCCCTAGAGGAAGCCGCTCCCCCGCCTGTCGCTGCCCCTGGTAACCTTGTCTCCTGGTCAGCCTGGGTGTCTTGTTCACTGAATCCAATAGTGCATCGCCCTGGTGTCTGGCTTCTCTCGTCGGCCTTCTCCTCCGGGCTCACACGTGGCAGCATGTGGCAGCCCCTCACGTGATGGCTGAGCACCGTCACACAGTGTGGTGGCTGAACACACAGTGTGCCCGCCGCATCGTGCGCCCCTTCCTCCCCCTGCACACCAGAGGGCTGGTTGTGACCAGTGCTGCGTGGACACTGGTGTGCAGGGTTTGTGTGGCCCGTGCTCGTGTGCCCAGCTACATACGTGGGAGGGGCATCGCTGGGTGGAAGGTTTTAGCTCATTTCACCTTCTGAGGTCCTGGCCGGCCGGCCTCCATGCAGCTACCGTTCCACACTAGTGGATGCACTGAGGCTGCGTCTACCGTCTGCGTGTAGGTGAGGCACAGGCTGAGTGGCTCTGTGGCCTGCGTCTGAGGTGGCAGTGAGTTAGGGGCTGGGCCATGGGTGCAGTCTTCTTCCGGGGGCACAGCCCCTCCAGTCTCTGGGGTCCAGGCTCTAGAAGGGGATTTGGAATCAAGGAGCTGCCTAGAGACGCATCCGTCCCCACGGGCACAGCATGCTAACACAGGCCCCCGCTCCCCAGGGTGAGGAGTGCACTGCCTCCATGCTGTAAGGCCTGCCTGCAGCGCTGCCCTGATGGGCCAGGGGCCCAGTGCCCATGCCCCTGTCCCCACAGCCCTCCAGGGGGGCCTGCCCTGCCCCATCTGCTGGGCACGTCCGTGCCTCGCGGGGCCTGCCCTGGGCTGACGGAAGTGGAGTGAACGCCATTTTCTGGGCACAGGGTGGGTGCTGGGGTTTCAGGTGCCACAAGTCCTGGTGGTTGAAGGTCACAACTTACAGTGCGGGAGGTGGGGGTGGCACCTGCAAGTCACCTGGAGCGACCGCGTGAGGCTGTCTCCTCCAGAGACTCCCTGAGGCGGGTCTGGGGGTGCTCAGAGCCATCAGCTCTGTGGACATAGGATGTTTGTTTTCTGGTAACAGCAGAGAGCGAGACGTTCTCAGAAGAACGGGTGAACAGGGGTGCTGCAGTCAGGCTGGGGTGGGCGAAGCTGTTGAGGTGCCCCTGGGGGCCGGATGGGCCTCTCGGCTGCCCAGGGGCTGCCCCTCTCTGAGCCTAAAGGGGCCCTGGGCTGGGTAGTTTCTGGGGCACCCCGTGCCCAAGGCTCTGCACCCTGAGGATGGCTCCCAGGACGTCAGGCCCCTGGCCTGCAGTCCCACGCCCGGGTGGCCGGGCTCAGCCCTCCCTCCCCTTGCCTCTGCAGTCTATCCCTCCCTGGAGTCTGACGAGGACAGCCCCGTCTTCAAGTCCCGGTCCAAGAAGAGGAAAGCCTCAGACGATGCTCCCTACAGCCCAACAGGTAGTGCTGGGACGGGAGGGGCTCCGTCCACACCTGCAGGAGAGCCACGGCACGTGGGCTCTGTGCAGGCGAGAGGGGTGTCCCTGCCTGCTGCTCTCCTGGGCCTGGTGCCCGGAGCTCCTGGGTGGGCTGGGGTGGTGCCCCGGGTGGGCCAGCCCCTGCCTAGTTTCTTCTCAGTGAGCAGCCCTGGGAGAGCCGCCTTTGCTTCTGGCCCCCAGATGGCAGCCAGTGGGGGGGCGCTGTGGGGGGCTTGTCCACTTTACACATGGCCCCCTCCTGCCCGCTCCTGCCTTGCTGGGTGGGATCCCCTACCCGACTGGGCCTCTCACTGACCCTCCCCAACTTGTGAGGTGTCCCTGGGCTCAGGAGCAGGCTGGGCTGGGTGGGCCCAGGGTGCCCACGGTGCGAGCCGCCCATTGAGGCACGCTGCCCTTCTTTCCCAAAGCGAGGGTCGGCCCCTCGGTGCCGAGGCAGGACAGGCCTGTTCGAGAGGGGACCAGAGTGGCCTCCATCGAGACCGGGCTGGCGGCCGCTGCAGCCAAGCTGTCCCAGCAGGTGAGGAGGGCCCCACCCGGTGCAGAAGCCACCCGTGCTGAGGGCTGGCACAGCTGAGGGGATTTGAGTGTTGCTTTATTCAGGCCCCCAAGTCCCCACAGTGGGGGGCGATGGCGGGAACCAGTGCCTGGGCCCCTCACACTGTCTTGGTGAGGACCGTTGTCCCAGGTGCGGGGGACACAGCTCCTCGGGGCCTCCCCCGTCGCTGGAGACCCGGCGTCTTCCTCTTGTCCTCACGGAGCTGAGGGGGCTGCGCCATCTCCATCTGTCTCCTTTGCCACCTCAGCTCCTCCTGGTCCCAGCTCCCCCAGAAGAGAGGGTCTCGGACTCTCGGGTGTCACCCAGACCAGCCCCAGCCCCATCTGGGCACCTGAGGAGCTTAAAAGACCACAGTGAACACTCTAGAGCCAAGATCCCCGAGGCGGCTCAGAGCAGGGTGACGGAGGAGGGCGCTGAGCTTAGTGCCATCCCACATGGTCCCCTGTGCAGGGCACCCCCGCAGGAGGGAGCGTGGTGCCCTCCTCAGGCCCCGCCCTGCCCTGCCCTGAGGGGCGCAGGCACTCAGCTCCCTGGAGAGGCCTCATGCACAGGGACCTGCCTCCCCTGGGTCCAGGTTGGTGAGGGCTGCTCCCTGCCTGCCTGCCCAGCACCTGAGGCCCGGCCCGCCCTGCCGGCCAACTTGCCCAACTGCTTTGTTCAAAGGAGGAGCAGAAAAGCAGGAAGAAAAAGAACTCCAAGAGGAAGCTGACGCCCAATACCACCTCCACCTCCACCTCTGCCTCCACCACCTCGGCCAGCACCACCTCGGCCTCCACCACCTCGGCCTCCACCACCCCGGCCTCCGCCACCCCTGCCTCCACCAGCACGGCCTCCACCAGCACCGCCAGCAGCCAGGCCTCGCAGGAGGGCAGCTCGCCCGAGATCCCACCTGAGGCGCACAGCAGCAGCCTGGCCGACCACGAGTACACGGTGGCCGGCACCTTCAGCGGGGCCCAGGCAAGCCGTGCCTCTCAGCCCATGGCCCCCGGGGTCTTCCTCACACAGAGGCGGCCCTCCGCGTCGTCCCCCAACAATACCGCTGCCAAAGGTACCGTACCTGCCGGCCCTACGCAGCCTAGACTTGCAGACTGTCTCCGTAGATGACCACAGGCTTCCTCTGTCCCCCGCAGTCCTGTGTGTGTGGCCACACGGTCAGTGTGTGAAAGAAATGGCCTCTTTCAAGGTTGAGGGCCAGAGTCACACACGGAGGGGTCTGGTTACCTGAGTTTGGCCCAGGTCCCCAGACCCCAAGTGCTTTGGCTTTGGGCTTAGCTTGGAGTCAGGGCGTGGTGAACGGTTTGCCAAGGGTTCTCTGGGAGGGGTCCAGGGTGACTGACCCAGGACCCGGTGTGAGTTGGGGGTGGCATGACTGCCTGGCATCTCCCCTGCCCGGCCCCTGGCCCCCTGGCCTGGTTAGTGGTTGGCTCACTCCTCCTGCCTCGAAGGACTCGCGCTCCCAGCAGAGTCCTTCCCGCTGGCCATGAGGCCCAGCCGGTGGCGGACACAGCTCATGTAGCTCCAGGTGACCCTGTAGCCAGGAGGTAGGCAGGGGTCTCACTCCACCCCAGTGCCATTGCCTGGCCCGTCCCCACCCCGGCCTCAGCCCCACTCCTGCATCCCTGCCCCCCGTCGATGCGGCCTCTGAGCTGGGGGCTCGGGGGAAGAATTGTGCTTTTGGAGGGTGCAGGACCCCAGGCTCGGGGCCACAGGCCCACTCACAGCCCGATGGGCGCGTGAAGGGGGGTTTGCAGACTCCCATCCCACACGCTGCTCCTCTGCCCTCTCACACAGCTATCTGCCTTTTTGTGTCCCCTCTTCTACCCCCAGGAAAACGTACAAAAAAGGGCATGGCCACCGCCAAGCAGAGGCTTGGGAAAATTTTGAAAATTCATCGGAATGGAAAACTGCTCCTTTAAAGTTTGGAGAGCCAGGATCCTTCTGCTCCGCTCAGGACCCCGGAGCCCCGCTACATCGTCAGCCCCAGGAGGGTGGCCGCGCCGCCGCGCCCCGGAGGCCTGGCTTCCTCCCAGCTCCACGCCCCACACCTGAGCCAGCGCCTGCGGCTTCGGCAGGCGGAGCTCGCCAGTCCGGACAGCCGCCCCTTCTCACGCTGCTCAGAGTGACCAGTTCCCGAAACTCGGCCCCGCCCGTGTGAGGACCTTCCGGTTTCAGGGCGGCCTCTAGGCGCCCCTCAGCCCCGCCCGTGTGAGGACCTTCCGGTTTCAGGGCGGCCTCTAGGCGCCCCGAGCGCGGGGGTGGTGGCAGGGCCTCTGCGGCTCTGCGGGAGCATGAGTCCTTCGAGGAAGGAGGAGTGAGCCAACATTCACCAGGCCCAGAGCCTGAGCCAGCCACAGGCTGGTAGCCTCCAGAGGCTTAAAAAAAGGCAAAGAACACTAGAGAGGAAGAGGAGGAGAAAGCAGGGTGTTAATGTGCCCCCATCTCTTCCCAAGTGATTCTCCGACATGTCCAGCGAGCGTCCATTCTGGCCAGGAGAGGGGGGCCTCCAGGCTCCCTCCGGCACGTGGCAGACCAGATGGTGGGGGTCGCCCCTGAATGCCCAGGGCATTTCCAGGAATGACGGGCCGGCAGCAGGGTCAGTGTGTTCATAGGTAGGGAGCCACCGTGGGATCCCCAGCCCTGATGCAGGCCCAGGGGGCCCAGGCAAAGCCACATGGTGGGTCCTGTCCAGTCCCACTGTCCACACTCCCAAAAGCACTTGCCAGCCAAGGCACCCTGCCCCGGGCCTGGCAGGGCGGATGGCGGCCGGCCGAGCGGCCCAAGGTTGCCGGGGGCCTGGCACTTCTGTCTTGTCACCTGTCACTTGGTGTCGAGTGCATGGGTGGCTCCTGGACCGCGAGCCCACCCATGGACATGGAGGGGCTGGATTTGTTTCTCAGGCAATCCTGTATTTTAATTTTAGATGTATTTCCTGAAGCATATTTTTCATAGAATGTAGCATGTAAATAGCTTTTTAAATAACTTCTTTTTTATAAGAGTAAAAGTATCTTTAGGAATTTCTTTGTAGAGTCCTTCATTAACATTTATACGAGTTTTTTGCTGAGTCTGACGAACAGTTGGGTTTCCGATGCTTTTTCTTTTCCTTCCTTTTTTTTTTTTTTATTGCTATGGTTATTTTTTTATTTTATTTTAGGGACTAAGGTATTGCCTGAAAAACAAGTGATGTCTGTGCAGCCTTATATCTGTCTTTACAGAAGCGAACAGTACACAAAAGATCTGTTTCAGATATGTTTGAAGATGAGTCTTCAACTCGAATACCAGCTTTCTTTCCTTCTTGTTGATGAAGGGGTGGGGGACAGTTATTTTACTAGCACCTTGTGAAGTGTTCTGTGTTTTGTGATGCTGTAATTTATTAATGTTTGTAGCTTTTTATATTTGTATATTTCTTATGAGCTTTGTTTATATGCCCATCCCTGGGTGTTCTGTCCGCACGGAGAGGCAGCTTCGTGCCGGCCTTGGCCCCTGGCTCGCCTGTCGGAGACCTGGCCGCCGAGCCTGGGGATGGGCAAGGCCACGCTCATGGACCCGACGACTCCAGCCCAGCGTTTTGAAGGTTTCCTTGCCTGTTACTGTTGAACATTTATATAATCTAACCCGGCCATCAAACTGTTCTCTCTCACTCTCTTTTTTTTTAATTTTATTATTATTTTGGCAACATGTACATTTCTAACAAAGTTTATCGTGGCTATTAAAGTGTTTTATTTCCCAATTCATATTACTCTTGTATTGAGTCCATGAGGTCTAAGGCAACTTAAATCAAAGTTTTAAAAGAGTAAAGATATTTCAGGTTTTGTACAGAACCATGTCTGTGTCATTTCTGCCTCATTCACCGCCGTCCATCCTGCAGTGAGGGTGGCAGGGGTCCTCAACTGGGCGGGAGGCACTGTGGTTGGGGAGGGAGAAGGGGAGGTCTTGTGCACCCTGAGGGTTGGGTGTGAGGGTGGGCAGTCAGACCAGGCCCCCTGCCCACATCAGAGCCACCAGTGTTCCCCTCAGAAACTCCCGATGGTCTATGGGCACATACACTGCCTGCACCCCAAGCAGCCTGCAGGAATGGGCAGAAGACACCTGTGGGGCAGGCAGCCTTCGAGACCCTAACCTTCCTAGCCCCAGCCCCAAGCACCCTCTAAAACCTTATGGTTCACAGATGGGCAATTTGGCTGAGTCCAGTGAGCACAGGGCCAACCACAAGACAGTCAGGAAGAAACACAGGGTTTTGTCTCCATCGGACATTATTCACAGCAAATGGGCAAAAGCAGAACTCACCTCCCACCCCCCACCCCTACCAGACAAGTGTGGGCACAGTGAAGGTCAAGGATTGGAGGGAAAAGAAAGACCAGCTGCTGGAGGGGCCGCTGTGGAGGAGCGTGGGGCTGCCTGGCTGCCGGGCATCTCGGGCATCACTGGGCCCTGGGACGGGACCCTCTCCCCAGGCACCCACAGCTTGAGTCCATTCCGCTGGGCCCCCAGGAGTCATGGCCCCTCCACATCCCAGGCTCGGCACTGCACCTGCTGGACAGTGTTCTACCCAGATCCATCCAGACTTGGCCTTGTGGCTCCCCACACCCTCACCTCATAGAACCAGGAGACCATGCCTGGCCCTCGGCTGCCCTCTGCAGCCCCTCCAGGCCCAGTTCTGCCTCCTCCCCACCTTCCCAGGCTTGCTGGCCCCGAGCCCGGGCCCTGGAGGCTAAGCTGTGCTCCATGGGTCCCTTGGTGTTGGTACTGGACCTCCAGAGGGCTGTCAGGCAGGGCTCCCAAAGGCCCCCCAGAGCCCCCCAGTTCCAGGCCCCATCCTGGTCTGCACCCACGCAATCCTGGTGCCATGTGGCCCAGCCCTGCCATGGGACCTCACTGTGGCCCCTGTGCAGCGTGTTTGGGTGTGTCTGCAAGCACCTGAGACTGGTGTCTGGGTGAGCTTGTGGCAGGGGCAGCAAGGGGCCCAGGTCTTCTCTCTATTCAGGGCCGAGAGCCCCATGACAATGAACTGGGAGGAGGGGCTGAATGTGCTCCCAGCGTGGCCCACGGGCCCAGCTCCAACCTCTTCCTCCCTGATAGTGGTCCCACTGGAAGGGAAGACTCGGCCTGGCAAGCTCCTCCACTAAGCCCCCCAGGCCATTTCGGCATCTGGGCCTTCACCACGGCTTTCGTGAGCTGCCAGGAGAAGCCTTTTGGGGCACCTTGGGCCCACCCTGTGTGCAGTCCCCTCTCAGGGTCTCAGGACCAAACCCAGAGCTGTGTCCCCGGTGAGGCAGGTCCGTGGCACACGGAGACACAGGGCCACAGGCCCTGAGGACTCAGAACCAAGACCTCCTCCCTCCCAGGCTCTCCTCACCAGCCTGGCTCACAGGTGTCCTGACACAATGCCAGTGCCGCAGGGGTGCTGCAAGGCCCTGTGCCCATCGCCATTTTGCAGCCCTTGGCGGCGGGTGGCTGGCGAGAGAGGGGAGCACCACCATCCTGTTGCTGCCCCAGGGGCTGCAGGATGCCAGTGGTTGGGGTCCTGGAGCTCCCACTGCGAGAAGAGCCACCTGGCCAGCAGAGGACTTTGCAGAGAAAACGGGAACTTGCATGCGAGGCCTCGGAGACGCAGGCTCTGTCCTCCCGGGATGCAGTGCAGCCGCAGCCTGTGCACGGAACAGCGCTGAAATAAACAGCCTGTAACTCAGATTCCCAAAGTTCAGTTGAACTCCAGAGTCATTTTCTGAGCACCTACTGTGTGCTGGGCTGTTGAGAATCTCCCAGAGCCTTCATCAAAGCCGACGAGCCCACTTTGCCAAGGACACCAAGCGAAGCAAAGGGCCCGCTGCCCCGCGCCTTGCCAGCTCTGGGACCCTAACCATCGCCTGCTCCCTGGAACAGTGGGACACATGGTGTCCTCTACAACCCCGGGTAGAAGGGCAGTCTGAGATGTCCTAGGAGCCATCCATGGGAGAGGAAAGTGTCCTCAGCCAATGTGAGCAAAGGCCCTGAGGCAGGCTCAGGGTGCTAAGACGGTGCGAGTTGAGGCGGTGCCGGTTCAGTGAGGACCACGGGCATCCACATGGGGACCTGGCAGGCCCTGGGAAGGCCCTGCAGGCTAGTGAGCAGGTGCAGTGCTTCTCTTGGGGAGCAGCCTATTGGGGAAGGGTTGAGAACAAGGCCCCCAGGGGTCCCCTCTTCCCTTGCCCTTTGCCCATCAGCACATTCCCAGGGTCGCTGCATGGGTGGAGCGCTCAGCACTGCAGGAAGCTCTGCCTGTTTTGCATGGCCCTGCTGTTTGGAGGGAGCCAGTCCCAGAATCTGCAGGAAAGGATCCTGCTGGGCCCCTGGGGCAATTCTGAGAGTGACCAGTAGAGGGCAGGGGAGGGCCAGAAACAAACAGTCCTAGGAAGGCAGCAGCAGGAGCTCCGTCAGTGCCTGGTGCTGGGCAGGCTGGAGGGAGCTGAGAAGTGAAGTGTCGGCGGCTGCGAGTGCTGGCAAGGAGACGGTAACAATCAGATCAGCTTTGTCCTGAAAGGTTTATGTGTTAGATGTGCCAGGATCTGTGGTAGCACATCTCAGCACCTTCTGAGGGAAGGCCTACGACAGTCTTTATCTTACCAATAGGGAAACCGAGGCACAGAGCCTCATAGCTGGTGGAGCTGGGGTTCAAGTCCAGGTAGGCCAGCTCCAGGGCCTGTGGGCTGATGAGACGGACACCCAGGGAGATCTTCCTGTGGAAAGTGGCCTGATGGGCAGTTCCCCAAGCCCCCAAGAGGAGGAGCTGTGCCAGCGCAGAGAAAAGGGAGCTGCTGTGCAAAGGCCCTGAGGCAGGGACCAGGTGAAGTGCCTGCCTGAGGCGATAGCTGGAGTGAGGAGCTGCGCGCAGGGCAGGGGTAGTGAGGTGCAGCAGGGCAGCAGGCCAGGCCACGCTGTGGTGCTTGGAGGTTTTCTAAAGGGCAGCATCCCTTCACCAGGCTCTCCCCTCCATCACAGAGCTTGCCCTCTTTCCAGGCTGCACAGAGACCCCTGAGCCTGCCATCTCTCACCACCCGTCCCCCTCCAGGCCCTGCGCCCCCACCTCGGTGCACAGCAAGGAGCAGATGTGGACATAGCTGCAGGGGGCCTGCCCTCTCTGTCCACAGCACTGAGGGTCTGGACAGGGTGTTGGAGAGTCAAGAGGGCTCCCCATCAAGAGTTTAAAAAAGATGCTGCTCATGTAAAAATCTAGGCTGTGTTCCCAGCCCTATGAGCAAGTCTCCTCCACAGTAACTCCCAGTGATAATGGTGCCTGCGAGTCATGTCAAAGGCATTAGGCAGCAGTGCTGAATTCCACAGGTTTGTCTGGTGACCGTGCTGCCGGTGTGGCCACATTTCCTGAGTGCATACTGTGTGCTGGGCAGGGTGCTTAGGCTGCCACCCCTGCGGTGAGTGGCTGCATTGTTGGCCCAAAGACTTCTTGGCTGGCTCCTGCCCAGGTTGGCTGTGTGACCTGCTTCCTCATCTGCAGAGCTGGTGGGTGGTGGCCGCAACCCTACACAGAGGTGCTGTTGGGCTGACTCTTCCCTGCACGCCATCTGGTCCTCCGCTGGGGCACCCCGCCCCCCCCCCCCCCCCGCCCCGCTTCCCCAGCCCACCCTTGGGCCTATGCACTGTGTGATCTCTGGCAGGTCACTTCTCCTCTCTGGGCCTCTTCTCCTGTCTGCCTTCTTGGTGATAAGGGTAGGGATGGGGTGGGGTGGGGGGGCAACTGGAGCTGAAAGAGGCAGCTTGTCCCATGCAACCGGGCCCACAGCCTCCCCACCATGGCCGGCAGAGGTGGGTCCAGCAGGGCACAGCTGGGCCTCAGGCAGCCGGGCCGGCCTGAGGGTCTTCCATGGTGTGCTGTACCCGAGGGCTGGGGTGTGAGGCTGCTCCTCTTGACGTGTTTGGTTGCATTGAGGCTTACTTTTCGCAACTCAGTTTTGTGTCCCCAGAACCCAGTGGACAGAGGGGCGCTGGGTGGGACAGCCAGTCCGAAGAGGAGTAATGGCAGGGGGGAGTCCAGGCCAGGCTGTCGGGCGGCCTGACAAATGGCCTCCTCCTTAGCCGCCGGCCTGCCTTTCCCAGGCTGAGTCCTGCCGACCGCCTCATCCAAACATCCCTGGGGATGCCACCTCGGCAGAAAAATGATGCTGTTCCATTAACATCTGACACGGATTTGCAGGCCCTAAACAGACGAGTGTGTATGTAAACACCGGGCCTGGCCAGGCCCTCGCTGGCTCAAAGAGGGATCCTCGTAATTAATTGTCCGCCTGCTGGCCCAGCAGCCGGGGCCCACACTCCAGCCAGTGTTATTTCAAGATTGCAATTTCTCCTTGCCTCCCACAAACAGCACTTACCAAACAGCGGATGTGCCGGCGCTTGTAGGAAGGACGGAGAGGGTTCCTGACTCCGTGGGCGTCAACTTTTTTCCTGGTAAAATGGAGTCATCACCCTGGCCTCCCGGTGGCCTCGAGAATAAGGCCCACAAGCCTGAGCACCCACCTGCTGGCGTGCAGCCTCGCTGTCCAGGGGGTGGGTCAGTGCAGTTTGGTGGATTTAATAAGGGTGTAAGGCTGCCTCGACATAGTTACATGTGTCTTTTTACCCTGAAGAGGGAGGATTTGTTCTAGAAGCCTGTTCTAAAATGTTGTCTAGAATCAGTGGTACCTTGTGTGTGCATGTATACCAATAATACCTCTTCCTCTTGTCAAAGAGAATCTTTTATCAACGGGCAACAATTCCCCACGTATTTCGTACAGTACGTTTTAGTCTGCTACCCCCCACATTTATATTTCCTTCCTTCTTCTTGGGGTTC